TGTCATAATTTACGTTTTCCCCTTCTCCTTCTCAGGACAGGGTAGGCATTTGGTCTTTGCACTCTCAGTACCTACCTCTGTGCTTGGCTTATAACATAGTAAGTAGGTGGTCCCCAAATGTCTGGGTTAATTTTGACTCTCCCCACCTAAGAACTGGTGTCTCCTGACTCTTGTCCAGGCTGTGCCCCTTTGATCAATTTACCACTCTTTGCCCAGAGAGAGACAAGATGGCCACTGGCTGTACAGGGAAAGCCTGGAGGGACAATACGGCTCAAGACAAAATCTGATTTATGTCTTTGCTATAGTTCCTAGGTTTGTAAACAATTAATATAAATTGATCCCAGCATAACTTTCTGTTTCTAATAAAAGGATGTAGGAAAAAGATCACATGATTCATTTGTGGTTCCTAGTGCTTAGGCTTTTCCTAAGATTGCTTCCTTCCTTTCTGTTCCTTTACAATATAAAATATATATGAAAATACTCTGAAAACTGGAAGTGCTATATTATATACATGTGTATATGTATAAGCTGGTATGAGTATGATTTTTAGATAAATGATTGGTTCAAAAAGATTAGCTCATTGTAAAGCAATTATACTCCAATAAAGATGTTAAAAAATAAATATATTACATTTTCAAAAGACTTAATAAAATAAAAATTTAAATACAGAGATAAAAAAAGATTAGCTGTTGAGCAAACATTCATTCAGAAGTATTTTTTGAATGTCTGCCATGTGCTAGGCACTGTTTTGGGTATTGGAAATATAGCAATAAATAAAGCAGATAATCCCTGTCTTTGTAGGCATTCTCATGGGAGAGACACTCCTTTAATAAGAAGAGAATAAAATATGTAGTGGGGCAAATGGTAACTAAAGCTGCAGAAAAAAAAGCAGGCAAGGGATAAGGGAGGGTCAGAGGAGTAGAATATTTAGACAGGTTGGAATTATATATCTCTTTCCTCTCGTACCCCCACTGGTGATCAAGATTGGTAACATAGTAACTTTGCCTCGCAGTTAGGTCAGTTAGGCAAACAAAAGAAAACTGATAGGTGGTTCATCAGGGTGTCTAATAATAATGTATTTCAGATTTCCATCAGCCATATTAACAAAAAATTACTTTAAAATAATAAAATACAAACAGACATCATTCTTATCTGATATCCCAATTTAACAGTCTTTTTTTAACAATAAATCTTAATAAATATATAAATATTTAAAAACCCAAAAGACTAAATTCAACAACTTGTATAATTACTGATATCAGTTCATGAATATATTATTGCTCCTGTGTTACCTAAAAATATCAGTTGCTTTTGAAACTGAAAGCTGTTATTAAAACTGATTTGAAAATGACTATTCCCTTCTAAATATTAATGTGAAAAATAAATAATTATTAAGAGGGCTATGGCCTGAAGCATTAGGTCAGTTTGATTCTGATTTTCATATACAAAGAAAGGATGAATGCACGAATTCTAGTAGTTCCGATCCCCTTATCCAGAGCAGTCGGGAAGTTGTTTACTCTTTGAGGGCCCACTGCTGACGTCTGCTCACTGAGTAATGTCATCAGATTTCCTGGTGGTGGTTATTTTGGGGGGGGCAGTGGTAAGTAATTGTCCGGCTCTGCTGGGACACCGCTTGACAGAGGTCCTGAGAGCCGGATATACCCTGTAGACAGGATGTAAGGTTAAAATGCAATCTAGTTAAGTAAATAAAGAAAGTATTCAATGGTAAAATAGAATTGCTGAAACATTAATGTTTTAAAATGATACTGCTAAAATTATACTGAAGTAGAATCCATGCTCTTTAAAAACATTAATCTATAGCTTCTTTTATTTCTTAGAATTAGTGCGGTGGTGAGTTATTTTTACAAGTTGAGATCATAAAGTTACTCTGTCCTTTGTTTGTAAAAGTTATTTCACCCACTTTGGGTGTAGACCATGTACTCAGAATTGTTTTCCCAGGAAGAATGAGACTTTTGCCCTTAGCTGTCCATTCTTTTTATTTATTTATTATTTATTTATTTATTTAACATCTTCATCGGAGTATAATTGCTTTATGTTGTTGTGTTAGTTGCTGCTGTATAACAAGGTGAATCAGCTATACGTATACCTATATCCCTATATCCCCTACCTCTTGCGTCTCCCTCCCACTCTCCCTATCCCACCCCTCTAGGTGGTCACAAAGCATGAGCTGATCTCCCTGTGCTATGCAGCTGCTTCCCACTAGCTATCTATTTTACATTTGGTAGGGTATATATGTCAGTGCCACTCTCTCACTTCGTCCCAGCTTACCCTTCCCCCTCCGTTTCCTCAAGTCCATTCTCTACATCTATGACTTTATTCCTGTCCTGCCCCTAGGTTCTTCAGAACCACTTTTTTTTTTTTAGATTGCATATATATGTGTTAGCATATAGCCGTCCATTCTTTTATCTCGTCCCTCAGCTTGTGACCGACACTATATAGTATGTGTTTTTTAAAATCAAGCTAGTCGTTAACATTTTAAAGTTTTATTAATTATTATAGCCTTTAGCTTATTTTTCTCCTCCTGGTTTCCTTAAGTTTGTACTGTTGACTTTCTCAAATTTAGTGATTTGAAAGCTTAGTATATTAATTCTTGTTTCATGACAGAAAGATCTAAGACTGTGAATTTTGCCTCTGAGTAAAATTTACTAGTATCCTGTAGGTTTTATTACATGACATTCTCATTTTTATTATTTTCCAAGCAATCTGTAGGCATAGTTTGCATTTCCCTCTCTGATCTGGCAGTTACATGAGTTTAAAAATTTCCAAGGAGGGGGTATTTCTTCTGTTTTTAATTTTGGTTTGATTGCCTTATGGTTGGAAATAAAGGCTGTACAAGGAATATGTTTTAAAGTTTTCTTTGTGACCTAGTATATGTTTTTACGATATTTATAAATATTTTCTTTCTGTCCGTTCAGACTTTATCTTTTGTCTCCTTGATCCTTCATAGCAAATTTCATGAGTATCCTCTGTGAGAGGCTGCAGCCGCTGTTTCACACAGAGGACCCAAGTGCTGTCCAGCAACCGCTTCATCCTAGGCAGTGGCACAGCGCTCCTGTTGATGGGTTTTCTGGTTTCTTTTGTGCAACTCCACCCTGCCCCAACACTGTAGAAAATCAGCAAAATGATTTCCCTTCTTTTTCCTGTCATTTTCTTCCTTCTCTTTCTTTTTCCTGAGTAGTTTCACTGTCTTCTCCAAGCAGTAGGCCTGTATCATTTCTTGTTCTTTCATTCATTCATTTCTTTAAACTTTGTTCATAAAAACCAACAAAATAGTCATTGTTCAGATTGGTCTCTCTCGGTGCCTCTTGCCTTCCTTCTCACTGCACTGTGGGAGTATGATTACGTAGAGCACATCTCTCTCTTTTAAGACTCTCTTAGACCTCCTGGATCATATTCCGTCAGAAATTCTGGCTTTGGCATCCAGCTGTGCCTCTTGATGAGGCCGGTGACTGCCCAGCTCTGGAGGATAGACGGTGCTGTGGGATGTCTGTGCTCACCCTTCCACCCTACTGCAAAGCCCTCCTCCTCAGTCTCAGGTCTAGAGTAGTAGCGACCCTCATTCTACACCTTCTGAGAGATGAAGTTACTACAAAGCAAATCAGAAACTGAGCCAGTGTCCCATAATTAGTAGACATCAGCTTCTAGCAGTTAAAAATATACATGGACTTCCTCCATCACGAAGCAGGTTTTGTTGCATGTGTTTACTGTAGGAGAGATCACTGCTTGAGGGGAGAGATGGGAGGTGGCAGGCAGTTAGGAAGTATCTTGTGGGAAGGTTTATAGATCTAGTTCTGCTGCTGCTGTGTTTTAGGTATGAAATCACACCCGTCACCCAGCGGCCTGGAGTAGGGTAGGGATCCCCTCAACACATATATACAGTGTTTCTGGAAAAATTGCAAAATGTGTCTCTTCCTCCAGGTAGCAACCCAAGGCCAGGGTTCATGGCTTGGGGCTGGATTTTAGCTCTCCATTCTCCCTCCCTTGTGCTCCTTTGTGCAGTGCACAGACTTCCCAAACCTTCCAGTGGCCCTGGGTTTGCAGCACAGTTTATAAAACTAAACAGACTGGTCAGTGGAATCCCAGATGCCACTTGCTGCTGTGTGGCCTTAAACAAAGTACTTGGAACCTCAGCTTTCCAAAGTAAACTCTCAGCATGTTGCAAAGGTTCAGCGAGATAACGTATGTTCAGCCCTTAGCACAGTGCCCAGTATATACTGAGCCCTCCACTGGTGCTATGATTGTATTACTTGTTGGGGTTTGGTTATGACACTGTATTTATCTTTGTGTGTTGGTGTTAAGTTCTCAAATAGATAAGCTTTTTTTTTTTTTTTTTTGGCCGCACCACGAGGCTTGTGGGATCTTAGTTCCCCGAACAGGGATCAAACCCGGGCCCCCCAGCAGTGAGAGTACAGAGTCCTAACCGCTGGACCACCAGGGAAATTCCCAATAAGCATTTATTGATAAGCACCGTGCTTGTCTGTAAAATGAAAGTGTTAACCGTTTCTCAACAAGGAGTCTTTGAGGTCCCATGGTTCTGATAGCTGGATTTCTTTTTTGTGTGTGTGCCATTTTAGATGTAAGATTTCGTTGTCCATCAGGGGAAAGATGGGAGTAGACGTGGAAGAAACCAATGTTCATTCAGTGTCTAATCTTTGGGGGCTCTTTATATTGTAATCTCACGTGATCTCTTTAACACATGAGGAATTGAGGCCGAAGGTTGGGTGATTCACTTAGAGTCACACACAGCTAGGAAAAGAAAAGCTGGGATCAGACTCATTTTATGTGTCCTTCTCTGCTCTCCACCTTTCCTGGGGTTTATAAGGAGATAACTGAGATCCCTGTGTCTAATAAGTATTTACGTAATTTTTCTCTAGAGTAGAAATTTCATTTTCATCTGTGGCACTGATGAGAGAAAAATTTAAGCAAGCTTATCTTTTTTTTTTTCTCTTTTCATTTTTAAGCAGATCTTTTTCTTGCAGGTAGCAGTAGCTGATATACAATTTGGCCCCATGAGATTTCATCCAGATCAGCTCCAGGTAATAATATACCATGCTGTAATTTTCACCTTGATTTTCTTTAAAGACGGGGAGGGAGAGGGTCTAAAGTTATACATTGAAAATAATCTTCTGTTTTAGATAAAATATTGGATCAATGTTGAATTCCCTGAACTTGATAGCAGTACTACAGGTATATCAGGGAATGTACTCTTCTTAGAAATACACATTGAGGTATTTAGAGATGAAATGTCTGCAACCTACTTTAAAAGGTTCAGCAATAAAATAATATGTATAATTGTGTGTGTGTGTGTACGTGTGTAGTATGTATGTGGAGAGAGAGAGAAAGCAAAGGTGGCAAAATGTTAACAATTGATGAAACTAGAAGAAGGGTGTCCTAGCATTTATTGTCATTCATGACTTTTTGTAGGTTTGAAATTTTCCAATGTAGAGAGTAAAAGCATGGTCTACTGTTACTGAATCAGCTTTAGCAGAGAGAAAATATCTATAAATTTTCTAATCCAAAATATTAAAATAACCAATTGAAATTTAGCTCCAGCGTTACTTGATGCTTCCTGTACACAAACGCATGCTCACTGTTACATTTTTTAAAATGTGAAAAGGACTGGCAGAAATGTGCTCTTGGGACTTCCCTAGTGGTCCAGTGGTTAAGACTCCACGGTCCCAATGCAGGGGGCCTGGGTTTGATCCCTGGTCAGGGAACTAAGATCCCACATGCTGTGCAGCACAGAAGAAATGTGCTCTCTTAACTCTTTGCACTTGTGGTATTTATGCACCTGGGTAAGCTTAGAGGGACTGAGTCTTGGGGAATGGGGTTTCTGTCAGCTTTGCAGTCTCTTTCCCTTAGGCTGTCCCACCTTGACTGTACAACATACCACAGTTTCCCTCCGTTAGTCAGTCTGAGTGTGAAGGGATGGAGCAGTGCGCTCCTGCCCCAGGTTTGGCGTGGCGGCTTGGCAGCGCAGGGGAAAGGGCAGCAGACGCAGGCCTCGCCCATCCAGGCCAGGCAGGAGGACAGCCAGCTGTCTCTTGCACCTGGTGCTGTTCTTGTGTCACTAAACGGGCAGTTTTTGAGTTGTAACGTTTTGGTCTACTTTAAGTCTCCTCTCTTATAATCAAAGGAATTTTTTTTTTTAACTTGAAGGAATTACATAAAGTCTTGAGTCAGAATACTTAAATGTATTATTTAAAGTATTAAGTATTCTGGGAGTTTGACTGAAATATTGGTGTTTGCCATCTAAGGACTTACCTAGTTAACTTACTGTTAACTAAAATAAATATTTGTGTTTTTTAATTGATTCAGTTTTAAGATAAAGTACTTAATCAAGTCTTTGTTGAGTTCTTCCAGTGGGCTTATTAGCAAAAGAAATAAGCCTATGATCCATGCACTGACTTCCAGACTAAGAACAGATAGAATAGCACTCATTTCAGGGAGCTGAGTGATAACGTCCCAGGGTTACATGTAGGAAAAGGATTTACTCAACAGATCGTTATGCTCACATCTGTGTACTTGTCTTGAAAACACTTGGGAGTTTTCTGTGGCTTGTTAAGAAATGACAATTCTAACGGCACCTTTCTTTTTTTTTTTTTTTTAAAAGTGTTCATGCTTTTTTGATTCAGGTACTTTTAGTGTTTCCCAAAGAAGATAAGCAGTGTAATGGATTCTGTAGGGCATGTGAAAAAGCAGGGTTTAAGTGTACAGTTATCAAGGAGGCTCAGACGGCCCTTGCCTGTTTCCTGGACAAACATCATGACATCATCATCATTGACCACAGAAATCCCCAACAGCTGGACGGGGAGGTGCTGTGCAGGTAAGCCTGAGACTCAGGCCTCAAGAGTCCCGCTGGCATTTGTGACAGTAAACGCAGCCCCAAATACATTAGGTTAAATTCAGTGTCTTTTAAGTTGCCTTCCATGCAAATAAAATAAGCAAGACATTAGAATATTATTATTTCTGGGAGGGATCTCTATCTCTTTTGTTTTGTTTTGCTTTGCTTAAAACAGAAAATCTGAATGTGAACCGTTAAGGGTTAAGATGAAATCCTGTATGTAATTAACCACAACTGTCACCTGCATAGTACTGCAACAAGAGTTATTATAGTTTTCTAGATGTTTTTAAAGTTATAAAAATTTTGAAAATTGTCTTCTAATGTTAGGTGTATGTGCCTTGTTTCTCATACTTGCAGAATATCAATATCATGAGAGAATTTGGGTAGCAGACATAAATCTAAGAAAAGTACTTTCTAAAGAAAGTCATTTGCTGCTGATGGAAGCAAGGCGAAAGTGAAATATCAATTTTATTTGAAAGAAAACTTTTATGTTGGGGAAGACAAATCATAATTTCAATATAATGTAAAATTTTATAATGTATTAATTTTAAGGACATTTAAATGTTGACCTTTAGGAGATAGAAAAGGTTGAAAACCAAATATAACAGGAGTTAAAAACTGAGCTGACAGGAAAATGACATCCTCTCAGAAGGTTGTTTACAGGTACATGGTGATTTCCATGTACTTGAGAGTTCACCTTTCAGGTAGTCAGATGAGGTGGCTTTTACCCAGGTGCGATCCACCTCCAGTAAAGCTTCGCTCGGGCCTTGCTCTGTGTTGCCTGCCATGCTGCCCGTGTCCCTTTCCTGTTTCTGTCTGGCTGATGGCAGTTAGCCATTGTCACTGGAGCCCAGACTTGTTTGACGTGTTATCTGACAGCACACCCATGAGGGATGTGGAGATGTGGAGAGAGCTCTGACCCTGGGTCCTATGCTCGGCTCTTCCCTTGCCCAGCTGCCTTTGGGTAACTCTCTGTCTTCTCTGAGGATGTGTTTTCTCAGCTGTAAATTTGGAACACTTGGTTTCCAAGATCCCTTCTCTCTCTAGCATTTGATGGATAGCACTCAGAGGAAGGGAAGAAAATATCTTAGATACATGGTGCTTTTAGTCTTAGTAGACTGCTGCTAGGCCGGAGAAATATCTAAGGAGAGCCAAAGAGCCCAAACAGAAAAGGTGAAGGGGGATGAGGTGCTGAGGACAACTTGGCTTCCTTCACAGTCTTGTCCTGGCCACAGGTATGTGCTGGACAATGACATTCATACTCATAAAGATGGCTCTGCTAGACTGTCCTGTGTTATAAAAGAAAAACTAAGTTGTGGTAGTTATGGTCTACTTTTTTTTATTGTGGTAAGGTACACATAACATACAATTATGCTCCACTTTTTGAAGGAGGAGAAAGTACTGTTGTTACACATTTTGGGAATATTCTAAACAAATAGGGTAACTCATTCAGCAAATTTATAAATTTACAACTTATACAGTTTTAAAACAGAGAAAGTGACCTGGGTTGCTTAACGTGCGGTTTTAGAGAAGCTTAGACTGTCATGAGTGCATGTCTTCTACCAAGTCCCCACCACCCTCCATCCAGCCTCTGATGGGGGTTAGGGTTTCCCAAGGGAGAGTTCTGAGTTTCATAAGTTCTCCTCCATGTTGAGTCCAGCTCTGTCCATATTTGGCCCCAGATTTCCAACATTTGAGGACAGGAGTGGTCTTTTCTGGTTGGAGCACATCCTCACTGCCGTCAGCGGCTTCTCACAGAGTGTGGTTCATGTTCCAGCCCCGTCAAGGAGGCCTCCTCTGAGTACCTTCTTCCAATCAAGACCTCTTGTAGGCGTGGCTCCCGAACTGAGAAGCTCGCGGGTTTGGGTAGGTGAGCGTAGAGTAAGCAGAGCCGTCACCCCCGTGTTAGCCAGAGAGCAGACCTCTACAGAGGCACCCCGGTCACGCTCCTTTCCTGACAGCTGTGTCACAGCCCTGGCCAAGAATCGGAAGTCTTTCTTGCTAGCTGTGTTCTACCACGTCACTTTTGTCTTGTTGGCTGAGGATTTGGAGGACAAGGGGTGGGAGGAGTCCTTGTGCCATTTGTAGTGAGTTTTCTAGAGGCAGGAGTGGGCCCTGATTTACTTTCCTAGTCAGTTTCATCTCACTTCTGGCCCTTACCTGGTTTATCTCCCTTAAGATCATCTGCCCACTGTGGACTGTTCCTTCAAGGAATCTTTCCAGGCCGTCCCTCCTGAACCTGCTCACCCTCTCTCTCCACTTACACTGCTCACTAAGAGACCTTAGCCCTGGCAGAGCCCCGTCTGTCCCTATTTCTTCCTTTTGGGATACCTGATCAACACCCCCTGTGAAGGGTTTTTCATCAGTTGCTGATGTGTCTAAATGATTAGCATTCAGCTGTATCTCTCTACTGGGGGCATGTGGAACTCCTTACACTCCTTATCAGATGCCTTCCTAGAGGTTAGATATTCTGTGTCTGCGATATTTTCAAACTCACCAGTTCAGAGAACCCTACTTGGCAGGTCTTCTTTGTTCAGGACACTGTGCTTGTTACCAGAGCTATACAGGTGAATAAGACATGGTTCTTGCCTCTGAGGAACAAATGCTTTTGTTGGCGGGGGCAAGCGAGCGATTTCAGCACAGCTCATAGATGCCCACAGAGGAGGTATGCTGCGGTTGCCTGTGTCTAGGAGGGCTTCACAAGGGGGTGTTTGAGTTGAGTCCCAAAGGATAAGCGGGAGTTCTGAAAGGAAGGACGGTGGAGAAAACATTCTGGGTGGAGGAAGCAGCATGTGTAGGACCGGGCAGGGTGTCCAGGGCTCCTCTGCCTGGTGTCAGGTGGCTGCTGGATCCAGCAGGTACGGGCCCTGCCTCAGGGTGAAGCTGGAGCAGCAGACGAGCCTGATCTGGAGGGCCTTGTGTGCTGAGCCAAAGGCTTTGGAGTCTGCCCTGTAGGCAGTTGAGACCCTGGCGTAGTCTGCGTATTCTACGCAGGGGAGTGTCCGGAGTGCACTGCCAGAGCACTGTGGCTGCCGCCTGGAGAGTGGAGAAGGAGATGGAAGGAGCGGAGGCCTGTCAGCCAGCTGTGAGGCTGAGGTCAGGGCCTCCTCCCAACTTCCTGTAGAGACAAAAACTGACCACAGCAATGAACGAACCAAAGATAAGATGACAGATATGTCAGAAGTTGGGAGACGGAAAAGGACAGGGATTCTCACTGTATCTCTTGTGCTATGGGGACCAATAAAGAAGCCTGTTCCTGGAATGTCCTCTGCATACTTCAGCCTCTGAGGCTGAAATTCCAATGGCCCTGCAGGAAGGAAGTGGGAAGAGGCTTTGCTTTACTCCCACTGTGTCCTGCTGAGCCTGGGAAGCTGGAGTTGCCCCGACCAGAGCCGAGCACCATCCCTTCTGTGATTTACTTTCTACATCCACTAGGAAACCCAAGACAGGGAGCAGAGGGAGATGGACAAAGACGTGGTTTTTCCTACCATGTTGTAAGAAGGGGCAGAGGCATAAGGAGCCTGGGAACATTCCTTCACATATTGCAGTTTCAAAACAGCAAACTGCATCAGTTGTCAGGTTTAGCCAGAGAATGGCAGAGAGCAGGCCCGGAGTCCCCTCTGTGCAGCAGAGCCGTGCATGCCTGCTGGCAGCGCTCTCTGAGCACGAACTTGCACCTGTTGACCTGATCTGCAGGTCCAGACCTCAGGGGAGGACGGCTGCTAACCCCAAGGGGGGTGCAAGGGAGACTCCTCTGACCATCTCTGCTGCAGACAGTCTGCCTGGGTGGATGTTGCTCCTGTTCAAGGATAAAGAAGGGGACCAAAAAGCTGCCAAATTATGGAGGGGGAAAGAACAGCCTGAAGACAAAGAAAATTGTTTTCTATAAGAAACTGAAGAACCTTTTAGAAGACATATGCTTAGTGTACTCAGAAGAAATGAAGAGCTAGTCCTCTGTGCAACAGGAGCAGGGCTCTGTAATGAAAGGGAAGATTTTTATAAAGGGAGATGGAGGAAGTAAAGCACTGCATAGAAACCCAACATACGTTAACAGAATTAAGTCTGTGTTGACATGAAAGGATGCTCAACATCACTAATCATTAGAGAAATGCAAGTCAAAATTACAATGAGGTATCACCTCACACCAGTCAGAATGGCCATCATCAAAAAATCTACAAACAATAAATGCTGGAGAGGGTGTGGAGAAAAGGGAACCCTCTTGCACTGTTGGTGGGAATGTAGATTGATACAGCCACTATGGAGAACAGTATGGAGATTCCTTAAAATACTAGAAATAGAACTACCATACGACCCAGCCATCCCACTACTGGGCATATACCCTGAGAAAACCATAATTCAAAAAGAGTCATGTGCCACAATGTTCATTGCAGCACTATTTACAGTCGCCAGGACATGGAAGCAACCTAAGTGTCCATCGACAGATGAATGGATAAAGAAGATGTGGCACGTATATACAATGGAATATTACTCAGCCATAAAAAGAAACGAAATTGAATTATCTGTAGTGAGGTGGATGGACCTAGAGTCTGTCATACAGAGTGAAGTAAGTCAGAAAGAGAAAAACAAATACCGTACGCTAACACATATTTATGGAATCTAAAAAAAAAAAAAGGTTCCAGTGAACCTAGGGGCAGGACAGGAATAAAGACGCAGGTGTAGAGAATGGACTTGAGGACACGGGGAGGGGGAAGGGTAAGCTGGGACAAAGTGAGAGAGTAGCATGGACATATATACACTACCAAGTGTAAAATAGATAGCTAGTGGGAAGCAGCCACGTAGCACAGGGAGATCAGCTCGGTGGTTTGTGACCACCTAGAGGGGTGGGATAGGGAGGGTGGGAGGGAGACGCAAGAGGGAAGAGATATGGGGATATATGTATATGTATAGCTGATTCACTTTTTTATAAAGCAGAAACACAACATTGTAAAGAAATTATACTCCAATAAAGATGTTTTAAAAAAAAAGTCTGTGTTGAATGCAGAAGCAAGATTGAACTCAGAGGGCTGTGTGCTTTCATAACCATCTCTGGATTTACCTTGGTCTGAACATCCTTTTTACTATCGTAAATTCCATTCTTTTCAATGTGAAACTCATTCCACGTGGCAGAGGGAACAGTGGCATAGTACAAGTAATGGAGTTGTGGTTTTGTAAAATTTAAGTCGTTGAAGAGCTTTGCTATGTTCATACAGTAAGTCTCCAGCATGTGGCCTTTTTTCCAGTTTTGTATCAAGACCATCATCAGAATTACTTGTAGTTTCCTAGTGTATCTGGAGACTGGTAGTTGCCCCCCAATATCCATTTCTACTCTTTTCTTAATAGCAGAATATCTAGTGTTTAGGTGGGAATACGACCACCTAGAAAATATACTGCATTCCCTAGCTTTTCTTGCAGCTGGCCAATGGAAGTGTCATGTGCATCTTCTGAAAAGTGTCCATGAAGGGAATATGCATGTCCTTCTTCCTGCTGTCTGGAATGTGGATGTTATGGCTAGAGCTCAGCATCTGTCTTGGACCATGAGGAAGAAACCACGTACAGACAATAATAGAGGAACGTAAGACAGAAGGAGCCCGGTTCCTGGTGCTGCAGAGTGCCATTGCAGCTTGGACTGCTCACCTCTGCACACCTTGCATGTGGGAGACAAGACTTGTTTAAGCCACTTTCTCTGGAGTTTTCTGTTGTGCATAACCAAATCAAATGCAAATGTTTCACCAGGTAGCATGGTTCTGAGAGCTTCCCAGTATGCTTGTGCAGCCTTTCAGAATCTCATGCTGTAGACTCACGGCCCATCTTTCTATTTTTACTCTTTTTTTAAGATTTTTTTTTTGACGTGGACCGTTTTTTTTTTTTTTTTAAGTCTTTATTGAATTTGTTACAATATTGCTTCTGTTTTATGTTTTGATTTTTTGCCCAGGAGGCATGTGGGATCTTAGCTCCCTGGCCAGGGATCGAACCCACACCCCCTGCATTGGAAGGCAAAGTCTTAGCCACCAGACCGCCAGGGAAGTCCCTCACGCCCCATCTTTTTTTCTGACTTCTTGAAATCTTCCTTCCAAATGTCCGGGTGTATATTTTGATGACGCCATGTCATTTCTTTCTTAGTTTTCATGAATTCTAAAGTAAAGGGTGTTATTTTGCAACCCGGATTCCCGACATTTCTATTTTCTAGCCAGTTCTTCCTTCTTATGGACCAGAGAAAGTTAAGAATACACCTCTGCCTTTTCATACCGTGTTAGACCTCCTTTGCAGGGACCTGCTTGTCTCCAGGAAACATGGTCTTTCCTTCTACTTTGTCCTTAGCCCAGTGCCCCTCATCTCTGTATTCAAATCTACTTAACTGAGACCATCTACGTGGTTGCGTACTTGCTATTATACCACTCAGATCTCTGTTTTTCTTGTAAAAAGATGAGAGCTAGTTTGAAATGGCTGGCTGCATACTTAAATTGCCTTTTCTCCCTCTAAATCTTCGTGATATGATAGAAGTATAAATGTAAGAACAACTACAGTGTCCTAAGAAGTCATGGAAGTACCATTCGTGAGTCCATGTCTTTCATTCCCTGTCTAAGATTAGTGCTAGGGTGAGTATTAGCCAACAGGTTTGAAAAGTGACCTGGCCTTGTCTGTTGTGTGAGGGTCTGCCATGCCAGTCACCCTCCCGAGCCAAAACAGCCCTTCCCATGGCTCCTTCTCCAGGAAGGTGAGCTTGGCTATTTTCTAGGCAGGGAGACCATGTTTGGACCAGGGCCTGGCACCTGGTCAGCAGGCCCTTCAGCGACCTGTCAAGAGGACTCTTCCGGTAGAACCAGGTAGCCAGTGCCCTTTAGGTTGGCTCCCTCTGGAGATGGTAGGCAAATAGAAGCTGGAGGAGTACAGTGGGCCCTAGGAGAAGCAGAAGTGTTGACACAGAGAGAGAGAGCGAGAGAGAGAGTGTTACGAGCTACGTGGTCCAGGAGAGAGACTGGCTGGTCCCTAGGGCTGCTTTTCCATCCCTGAGCAACTTCCCAACCCCAGAGCTAGTCTGCATCTGTCATTGGACTTCAGCCTTTCTCACCCTGAGCTCCATGGGAAAATTAAGCCTCAGTGCCGTGAGGCAGGGATAGGCAAAGGGGAACACAGTCAGGCCCATTCGTTTACGTATTGTCTGTGGCTGCTTTCGTGCTACAATGGCAGAATTGAGTAGTTGTGACAGAGTCTGTATGGCCCAAAAAACCTAAAATATTTATTATCTGGCCCTTTACAGAGAAACTTTGCCAAAACCGAGGCATCCATTGTATATGATGAATTGACTTTTCTCTTACGCATCTGGAATTGTTATGTTATGAACCATCCTTGGGAGAATTGAGAAATAGTCACTCAAATCAGTTTCCGTGTTTAGTGATTCAGAAGTGACACAAGTGATTCTTGAACCAGCAGAACTGAAGTAAGGCAGTAAGTCTGGGCTACTCTCTGTCCCATCCTGGACACATTGTCCAGGGGCCAGCGTGCTTCTGACTTGGCTGGGGCAGTCTGGATCCAGTCCTCTCCATCTCCTCCGTCTGAAGTCACCCTCCGGTGTGAGTCCTCTTCCTTCCCGGCCAGGGGCCGAGTTCCTCCCTCCCTCCCTGTGGCCTGGCTCCTCTTCGGATAGATCAGCTTTCTTCCCCAGGGTAGGATGGGCCAAAGCCATTGCATATCTCCAGTGGAGCAATTTCTTTTCCTCCTGCTCCTCTCTGTCACATTTATCTCTGCCCTCTCTCATCTTTTGGCTGTATTTTCATTCCCCGTGACTTTCTGGGAAGCTGCTTTTCCGGAAGGTTAAATTCAGTCCCTGCGGGCAGACTCATACTCCGTGGGTCATTTAAGTGGAGCAGTGTCTTCTACTTTTCTCAGCCAGTCTTCCATTCTTAATTTTTCCTGTCAGGTGTTGATTCTCCTCTTTCTGACTGATAAGAATATCTTGCATTTCCAAGCTTTGAATATTTATTGTTACTGTTTTTGCCTGCATTCTACTTGGGAACCCTTCTTTGCACTGCTTAGAATACAGTGGAGAGCTGACCCTTGGGCTTCTTCACCCCCACTGGACTTGTCGCCATCAGCTAGTGGTAATATACATAAACTTGCATTTTCCTTTGGTAGGAAGAGATGAGTAACCCCTTTCATGTAAGCCCCAGGTAGGGAAAATTTTCTGCCTGAAACAGCTTAGGTTAACAAAGAGCAGAACAAGTAGAAGGCACATCATTTGCACTATCTTCACACTCCATAATTGTTAGGGTTACCATAGGCCACTGGTTAGGAGTTTGTCCTCCAAAGAGAGAAAGATCAAGTAGCTAAGAAGGTGACTCCAGCGTATGAAGGGATCTTTTGCTCTTCCTTCTCCCTCTCCCCCAACTTTAATGGGTCTACCAAAATCGTTTAGGTATATTTAGTTTTTAAAGAATTGCTTTAAATTTATTTTAAAACTTTTTTTTAAAGGTCTATCAGATCATCAGAACTCTCAGAAAACACAGTTATTGTTGGTGTAGTACGCAGGTAAGATACTTCCTTCTTTCCTTCTTTTTTGATGTTGAAATTCAGGTGTCAGTGTAATTTTGCTTTTAACAGAGGCCCAAATAACAGCTTGTGGGCCGTGACAGGCCTCACCCTTTTTAGTTGGGCCTTTTTTTTCTTTACTCTTTCTTATTTTCTTTCATTTTGGCAGTTAAATTCATGGCTGGAGTTTGTACTCTCATATGAGGTTTTGTGATTTTGGACTGCCTTTCCCTTTAGAAATAGGTAAACCACGAGAGAATTCCATTCCTAAAGTATGAATGTTTTCCAGGCGTATTTCCTAGGGACTTCAAACTCCAGATATCTATGAAGATTTGAATTATACATAATTGGGGGAAATCTTATATTTCATTTTAAAATTGGAGGTAAGGAAAGAATAGAAGTAATTTAGTTTAAGTTAAAAGTTTTATGTATTAAATAGATATACAGTCACTCCTGTGTCCTGGCTGTTAGTGTAATCTCTGTATTTCAGGCATTAATACACACTGCCAAAAAGCCTAGTGTGAAACTAAAACAGAAAACTGTTTTCAACTTTATACGTTTGATTTGTATGTTAATCTAATTCATCTAAAAGGGCTCATTATGTGACAATTATAATATTATGTAAATTAATGAGTAGTTAAAGATGTGAGATGTAATTGATAAAAACTGTCTCTAACCATTTACTATATCCTTTTGAAGGGCGGTTAGAGAAGAGTCATCTGTAATGTCCCTCATTGAGGCTGGCTTTACAAGGGTAGGTACCCACTTTTTTGTTATACAAGTGTAATTCAGCATGAGAAGGTATTTTATCTCAGTTTAGAGCCCAGCAATAGTTTTGAATTAATTTGAAGAAAAAAAATTGTCCTTATGCTGTGTTACAGTTTGGTTTAACTTTATAATCTGGTAATCTCATAATCCACAACACTTTGCTTTCTTAGTCTCTCAAAACTATGCCTGCTAAAGTCATCTAAACATATTAAAATCTCCTTTAATGGCTTACTCATTAAAAATTATACCATAGGGTGTGTTGTTATAATGCTTACATGTATACATGCAACTTTAAAGCCAGTTTAAGGATTCTGGAAGTAAGACCTCCCCAACGTGGCTCCCTTTCTTTCCACCACTGGCTCCAGTCTGTTGGTTTCTCTTAAGCCAAAAAGCTTCTGAATGCTTTGGTCAGCTGGTTGGCAATGAGCCTTGGGAATCATGATGGAGAGAGCTTATGTAAGGCTGATTGTTGGGCAGATTTGTAGCCCAAATTAATATTATCAGTGAGGTAGTCCAGAGACCTCAAGCCTTGAACTTAGTTTAAAGTGATTCTGGGGCTTCCCTGGTGGCACAGTGGTTAAGAATCCGCCTGCCAATGCAGGGGACATGGGTTTGAGCCCTGGTCCGGGAAGGTCCCACACGCTGAGGAGCAACTAAGCCCGTGCACCACAACTACTGAGCCTGCGTCTAGAGCCTGTGAGCCACCACTACTGAGCCCGTGCTCCACAACTAGTGAAGACTGCACACCTAGAGCCTGTGCTCCGCAGCAAGAGAAGCCACCACAGTGAGAAATCTGTGCACCGCAATGAAGAGTAGCCCCGCTCGCTGCAACTAGAGAGAAACCTGTGCGCAGCAATGAAGACCCAACGCAGCTAAAAATAAAATAAAATAAATGAATGTATTAAAAAATAATAAATAAGGTGATTCTGGATGGTAGCACTCCCAGGTATTTGGAAGAAGCAAATTACAAATCCTCCCAGAGAAAGACACCTTCTTCTTTGGCCTCAGAGAATCTCTGCAAATAATCAGTCAAGGGCAGCAGGCAGCACTCAGCATTAACCAGTCCACCAGGAGACAAGGCATTGCAAGTGAGAACTAGCCGGGGGAGAAAGACAGCATGAACAGACCCTCACAGTCACAAGGAATAAGAAAGTATAAAAAGTGACAGTACATTTTAGGTAGAACGTAATTGAATTTTGAGAAGTGTACATACAATAACTGAAAATTTGAAAACTTAGTAGGTCAGAAGAAGTTATCCAGCATGTAGCACAAAGTTAAAAAAAATAGAAAATAAGTTACAGAGGTTTAGAAATGTGGAGGGTAGAATGTACGGTTTAGCATATATATAACTGGAGTTCCAGAAGGACAGGAGAGAGAATGGGGCAGTGTATTTGAAGAGAATTCTCCAGCAATGATGGAAGACTTCAGTCCACAGATTCCAAAATTCCAAAGTAGAGTAAATAAAAAGAGAGGACACATCATAGTGAAAAAACAAAGAGAAGATCTTAAAATTAGCCAGAGAAAAAAGATTAACTTTCAAAAGAATAACAGACTAACAGCTAGCTTCTCAGCAGCAATAAACGGAAGATAGAAAACAGTGGAATAATATTTTCAGTGTGATAAAAGAAAATAACTGCCAACCTAGATTGTTATACCAAGCCTAAATACTTTGAAAAATGAAGGTGTAATAAAGACTTTCAGAAATATGAAAATTGAGGCAGTTTGTAAGTAGCAGATTCTCACAAGGAAATTCGTAAGGAGGTACTTCAAACAGAAGCAAGGTAAATCTCAAGTGGGAGGCCTGAAAGGCAAGAAGGAATGAGGAACAAGAAAATGTGAATGTGGGGTCATTATACACACATATTTACTGTATAAAACAGTAATAATGTCTCATCTGATTAGAGATTTTGGTGAGAAAAGGACTGTAACCTGAGAGTCACACACCCAGCTAAGTTATTGTTCGTGCCCTTTAGGGCAAAAGAGATATTCCTTTTGGGGGATATACATAAAATTCAGAGATGTATTTCCCCAGCAGCCCTGTCTGAGGAAAATAATTGAGTAAGGACTTCAACCATAGAACAAATGAACTGGAACAGAAACTCTAAGATGAGGGAGAGAGCAGTAGAGAGAAGTGATGGGAGGTGAGCCTGCCCTGCGCACATGCTCCCCTGCTCCTCCCTCCTTCTCGAGCCCTCCTTCTTTCTGTGTCTGCGTGTGTACATACACAGGTACGGGTATGTGTGTGCAATGTAGAATATATATGTTTATATGTAATTATCATTACATAACATCCAATAATATCTCAGTATTTAAATTCTAGACTATCTGAACAAACCCTAGGTGTCTTCAAGGTTTGGGGGGAGGAAGTAGAGGTAAAAGGATTCTCGTGACCTCACCTAGCAGACAGGGAATGGGGGTGGGCAGTGAAAGTATTCTGAAGTTTGCTTCTTTATGGGAAATGTGCTGGTGGGAGATACTTTGTTCTGGAGGTAATTGGTATTTTGTTTTCAAATAATAGTAAAGAAATCTATGTCTGCTTTTGAGATCGGTGAAAAGGAAAGCAACCATTAATAGAGAAGTTTAAGTAAACTTCCAGATTAACAAAACATGGAATTTGCGGGAATTCCCTGGCGGTCCAGTGGTTAGGACTCCACGCTTTCACTGCCGAGGGCCCGAGTTCAATCCCTGGTCAGGGAACCAAGATCCCGCAAGCTGCTCAGTGCGGCCAAAAAACAACAAAAAAAACCATATGGAATTTATAGCAACTTGATCAAATTGGCAGATCCAAGGAAGGGGAAACAACAGTGTGAAAGCAATCATAAACACTAAGATAAGAGTAAAATCGAGTGCATGGGAATGGGCTGAATTCTTCCATTAAAGGATAAGCCATTAGATTGGGTTACAAAAGTACAATTATATGATGTTTATAAGACAGTGATAAAAGGAGCTTAATAATAAAGAAACAAAGAGGTAGCAAATAAATGCAGACAAAAGGAACAATATTAACATCAGATAAGGTGGAACTTAAGACCTTGTTTTGTACACACATAATTTTATATAAAAATTTTAGATTATTATTATTACATAGTTTTTTGGTTCTCCCTTTTTGACACTCCCACAACATTCACACGTATCAGTGCCTGTTCCCATTCCCTGACCTCCAGTAATCCACGTGAGCTAGTATGAGAAAAACCACATCAGCCAGCGTGAAGGTGAGCATTCCTTTAAGAATCCCAGGTTAGAAGTTGTGGATCACCTATTCCCAAGAATCGTTAGGTCATCCCTCCTTAAACTGCTTAGGGAAGCATTCACAAAAGGCAAAAAACTTTCCCAGATAACTTTGAAGATCTTTATATTATTACTCTTAAGCTGCAGAACTGGCTATCCTTTTTTTTTTTTTTGCGGTACGCGGGCCTCTCACTGTTGTGACCTCTCCCGTTGCGGAGCACAGGCTCCGGACGCACAGGCTCAGCGGCCATGGCTCACGGGCCCAGCCGCTCCACGGCATGTGGGATCTTCCCGGCCCGGGACACGAACCTGTGTCCCCTGCATCGGCAGGCGGACCCTCAACCACTGCGCCACCAGGGAAGCCCAGAACTGGCTATTCTTAACAAAGACCTTCGATGCTTCCACTTTGCAGTGAAACTAGTGAAACTTGTGGGATAGATTATTCATCTTGCCTTGGGTTGTTTGCTTACCTACAGCCACCAGCAGTCATTAAGCTTTTTATTTGTACGAGGTCATAGATGCAGTGTTGGAAATTGTGTGTTTGAAATTCTGCACAAGGAAGTCCATCAGCACAGCTTCGTGGACTGGGAAGCGTGTCCTGGTAGAAAGTCTAGTTAGCCATGGACTTTGTATTTTCCTAGTGTAATTGAGTTATCATGAAACTAATTTGAAAATTCAAAAGTAACCGACATACACACTTTGCCTGCCCCTCTCACCCGTACAACTTAATCAAGGTGTCCCCCCGAAGCGTTTGCTGGGAACCACGGTTAAGTGCATGTCTCTGCGAAAACACTCCCATGCAAAAAACACAAAGGGTTTAATTTAAAGTAGTCATTTTAGAGGTCTGTGACTTAGGAAGTATGGAGATAGCAGCAGCCTCACCACTTTATAAGTGACGAATCCAAGTCAGTGACCAGTCCTCAGAGACTACACGTGCTAACTCTTCTCATGCAGAGTCCTGTACCCTCAGGTAACAAAAGGATAGTGAGGTGACAGAGGGCACGGAGACAGAGAGGAGCATCCAGACCTGGAGGGAAGGTGATTCTCCAGAGTCTCATGGCTGGGAGGCAGTGGGGCCCATGCTTGAGCCCAGCCCTGGACCTGAAAGCCATCACCACAGTGAGAACTCTGGGATTCAGGGGGCAGTCAGCTATTCTGTGGATTGGCCGTAGTTCAGGAGTTCAGGATGGATGGATGGAGACCTACTTGCCTCCTCAGTTGGACTTGGCAGCTGATCTTTTTCTGACTAAAATCTCGAAGGTTAGGGTTTGGTATCTCTCAACTCTAGTTGTACGTTAGAACCCCCTGAAAGGCTTCCCCGGAGACCCTGTTTCAGTTGGTGTGGGGAGGAGCCTGCACGTTGGTATTATTTTTTAAGATTGCAGGGAATTCTAATATGCAGCCAAGGGTTGAGAACCACTGGGTGGGGCCCAGCAAGGTGGGTGTGGTATGCTCTGGAGAAAGCAAGGTGCAGTTGTCTCAGGAGTCTGCAGGACTTGTGGCCCCGGCCCCTCTTGTGGGATGGGTTGGGGAGGGGAGACCAGCTGCTGTTCAAGCAGAGGGAGCAGCAGCCTGATGCCTGAAGATCCCTGGACCTGCTGCCCTTCTCCACCCTCCATGCCCTGTGGAATCCTTGGGACATGAATGGAAGGTGGAGAAGGGCAGGAAAGACAGGATATTTAGATACACAGAACAAAGCAGAGGTAGTGAGGGGGAGGGGCAGATAGCAGGAGCAAGATGCTGTACTTTTAGTCACATGTGCTTGTTTTTTAGCCATGATGTCCACCTTTGGGGTAAAAAAGTTTGGATATGTACATTCACACCCAGTGAAAACTCTGGTTGCATGCATGGGAGGCCATGACACATAATACACATGGCTCCGTGTCCCAAGATGTCGCCTGCAGAGCAGGTGAAGCCAGGCAAGTGCGTGGACAGCTGGAGACACCTGTCCCCCACCCCTTGTCTCCTGGAGTGGCACAAGCACTATACCCGGAAATCTCTCCTCCCTATTCCTGCCTGGTCCGCAGTGGGCGCCTCTGTAGGTGGGCAGTGTTCCTGGATGTGCCTGAGGGGTCATGGCTGACTGAGGAGGGAGCGGCAGGGCCAGCACTCTCCTCCCCTCTCAGCAGCGGGGAGCTGGTAGGCATGTCACCTCTCTCAGACTTCTGTGGGTAAGAAGGGCTGTGTTTGGCCTGCAGACCCGGGAACCATCATGCCCATGGCCAGCAGGCCTTGCCTTCCCTCCCAGGGGACGGCAGTCACTGTGCTTTATGTTTGTGCAACAGTTTACAGTTAGAGTGCTTCCTCGTGGTCGTCTGTGGTGGAGCAGGGTGTCTTGTTTTGCAGGTGAGGAAGCAGGCTCAGGAAGGTTAAGGACCTCATGGAGAATCATACAGCTTTTAAGGCATGAACTTGGGGCTGGATTTTTAGGTTTCTTGACACAAAGACAAGACCCTGAGCACTGTTCAAACAGGGATATCTGCCTTCACTGGCAGTAGAAGGAGCTCCACAAGGGGCCCTGTCCCCTAGATTGGTCTGGCTTTGGCTTGTTGATAGTGGCCTGCAGATGCCCTGCCTCTTAGCCCCAGCTTCCTCCTCAGTTAGATAGAGTATTATCCGTGTATTGAGCAGGTGAAAGCAAGAGCTGTTCACAGAAATAGGGGTGAGTAAATGTTCACAAATATTTTTTTACATCTGAATATAACTACGTGACAGAACGTAGTGACTTGTAAGATGTCTTCATGAAATACATAATTTGGTGGTGCTCAGGCTTCCCATTCCCATGTAAATTTGCTTCGTTGAGATGTTTCCATTATGTAAAAGTTATTATACAAAACAGTTACTGTCCACAGCAATAAGAGAGACTGGGCAAAGCCATGGCTCTGCCAATACCTCTGCTGTGGAGGGTAATCCTTTGTCAGCTTAGTTGAGCTGCTGTTTGAAGTGATTGTAGGAGAATGTTGCCTGAGTGCGAGTTACCTCTGTGAAACTCAGCTGCAAAGAGATGTGCAAGCATATTTTTGTTTACCGTGAGCTTGTACAGCTCGAAAGAGGACAACATTGCTCTTGAATAAGTGAATAGACTCTGAAGGTTAATATAGGTAGGACTTTAGTTAATAAATTTCCTCCTTCTGTATATTCTAGGCTCCGCTAGTAACATGTAGACACCAAAAATCCTCTTACTTCAAGGCAGTGAAAGAAAAGCATTCTTTTTTTTTTTTTTTTTGGCCGTACGCAGGCCTCTCACTGTTGTGGCCTCTCCCGCTGCAGAGCACAGGCTCTGGATGTGCAGGCTCAGCGGCCATGGCCCACGGGCCCAGCTGCTCCACAGCATGTGGGATCTTCCCGGATCGGGGCACGAACCCGTGTCCTCTGCATCGGCAGGCGGACTCTCAACCACTGCGCCACCAGGGAAGCCCAGAAAAGCATTCTTAAGCGCTCTTCTTTTTCCTTGAACTTTTTTTTTTAGTGGAATTAAATATTGTGTTAGTTTCATGTGTACAGCAAAGTGATTCAGTCATTTATATATACATATGTATATATATACATATTTATACTTTTTCAGATTCTTTTCCATTAAAGGTTAGTACAAGATATTGAATATAGTTTCCTGTGATATACAGTAGGACCTTGTTGTTTACCTGTTTCACATACAGTAGTGTATATCTGTTAATCCCAAACTCCTAATTTATCCCTCTCCCCATCCTTTCCACTTTGGTAACCATAAGTGTGTTTTCTGTCCGTCTATTTCTGTTTTGTAAATAAGTTCATTTGTATTTTTTTTTTAGATTCCCACATATAGGTGATATCATATGATATTTGCCTTTCTCTGTCGGACTTACTTCACTTGGTATGATAATCTCTAGGTCCATTCATGTTGCTACAGACGGCATTATTTCATTCTTTTTTATGGCTGAGTAACATTCCATTGTACATACTGTACATATATAAACACACACACACACACCCCCCCACATCTTCTTTATGCATTCCTCTGTCGATGGACTATTAGGAGGTTGCTTCCATGTCTTGGCTATTGTAAATAGTACTGCTATGAATGTTGGGGTGCATGTATCTTTTTGAATTATAGTTTTCTCTGGATATATGCCCAGGAATGGAGGCCTATTTTTTCTAATTCCATTTATTTACTACTTTATTGAGATACTATTCATATACCATGTAATTCAGCTATTTATTTATATATTTTAAACTTGATGTAATATTTTTATAAAAATGTAAAATAATTATAATGCAATTTTCCATTTCCTCATTTTACTTGACAGTGTGTCTCGTACATCATTCCATATAAGTGCATGTAATAGCTGCATGCTGTTCTATTAAATGGTTATACTATAGTATACTATAGTTTTTTACATTAATTTATTTAAAAAATTATTTTATTTTTTTCTCTTTCCAGCAAATACCTTGCCCTTTCTGCCTTCTTTCCTTTCCTTCCTTCCTCCCTCCCTCTCTCCCTCCCCCCTTCCTTCCTTCCTTCTTTCTGCCTTTTTTTTCTCTTTCTTGAGGTATAGTTGATCGATTCAGCCACTTAAAGTGTACAACTCAGTGGTTTCTTAATATATTCTCAGATATGTGCAAGTACTATTTTTTAAAAGCTAATTTGGTACCCATAAGTTTTCATCTCTCATTTCCTGTTCATCATGAAAGATTAATTATTTTTTAGATTTCAGGTACCAAGTTGAGAAGCCTGTTGGAAAGAATTATTTTTTATATATGTATTTAATCATTTAAAGGTACACATTTGTTTATCCACAAAATCCTCTTTCTGTTTGTAGAGGTATGTAGAAAACCCCAGCGCCATGGCCTGTTACAATGAACTGCTCCAGATGGAGTTTGGATTGGTGCGCCCACAGCTGAAACTCAGGTAATTCTGCTTCTTCTGGTAAGCCGCCCATACCACACAGAGCATTGTTGCAAGTGAGGACTTCGGTTGTGGGCGGCTATATTTTGGCTGTAACTGACCTCCTGCTAAAATGGGATGGGGTGGTGGGAAGGCATCTCTCCTCACAAAATGCTTTTGGAGTTTGCCTGGATGTCTAATAGGTGGTCATGTTAGTGATTGGAGACTCAGCATTTAAAGATGGGGCTCCAGTGGGGACTTCCCTGGCGGTCCAGTGGTTAAAACTTGACGCTATCACTGCCGGGGCCCTGGGTTTGATCCCTGGTTGGGGAGGATAACACAAGCCACATGGCGTGGCCAGAAAAAGAAAGAAAAAGATGGGGCACCAAAATAATAGCAAATGAAAAAGCAGGATGCGAAAGTATATATCCTGAATTATCTGTTTTGTTTTTTAATTAAAAAATTACTTTTAATATACACATACACCCAACCCGTTAACATTATTATCTCTGGTAGGTGACATGTTTTCTGCTCTACAATAAGCATTTTGTAATTTGCCCTTGCTCAACAGTTTTTTGTTTTTTTTTTTAACTGATGAGTGGAAACCTAGCTCTTTGTAGAGTGAGAAAAGCAGAAAAATTAGTAAAATTATATGAGGTTGACAGAAGTGAAAAAAATGTCAGTATCTCTGTATCATCCTAGGTCTCTTCCTTGGGTGGTCTACTATTCTTTAACATTTCCTTTACCAGGATCCAAAGAGAATGAAATCATTCTGTTTGTATGTGCCCAAGGCAGAGATAAGGGGATTAGAATTTGGGGTATTAACATTGGTAGGGACCAGCACAGGGTATCACATGCAGAGAAGAAAATACTTCATAGACAAAATGAAGTGTGATGTAGCAAAGAAGTGCTACTGAGCAGAGATGTTTCAGGGCTAGTGAGGTCTACAGAAGAGCTCCTTTTTATTGCCAGAGTTTTCAGGGAAACTTGAGATGGATAGTTGGCCTTGGGCCTGCCTCCTTCTCATTCCTGGGTCTTCCACAGCCTGGCTGCAGCACTCCCACAGTGAGTTGGGCTGCTGCCCTCTCTGAGAGGAGAGCGGAACTGTGGAGCAGGAGGCGATGTTAGAGCTTATTTCATCAAATCACGAGTCACGATGCAAAAACCGAGACCCAGGGAGGTTAACTGACTTACATCCAAGGTCTCGCACGCAGCACGTGGCAAAGGTAGTCCTTTAGGTTGTAACCCCCATTTTCAAAACTGCACTCATGGTCTCTCCTCATGCTCTACTTTGTTCTCTGTGTGCCAGCTGACAGCCAGAGGGAGATGTCCACTATGAAGGGAGGTATGAAAATATTGATAATGAAGAAAAGGGGTAAATGTGGGGCTAGAGAATTGGGAGCAATAGAGAAAGACTTGTTCTGAGAGATATTAAAATGCACTAAAAAGCTATAACAAGCATCTTTGTGTTACTGGTAGATCAGTAAACTAGAATGTAAAGTCTAGAAATAGACGTGCGTGTATTTAAGAATTAGGAACATAAGTATATGTGTTCAACATGGCAATTTAAATCCACACAGGAAAGGGTGGACTTTTCAGTGAATAGAATTGTGACAGCTTATTAACTGGAAAGAAAATTAAGTTATATCCCGATCTCACACCCAGTCCCAAAATAAATTCCAGTGTGCATAATGTTAAAAAGTGTGGCCACATAAGTACTAAAAATGTAAGTGAGCATATGTATTTGGATAATGAAGTCTTTTTAAACTCAGCATGGTGTGAAAGCCAGATTTTATAAAGAAAGAGAATCAGATTAGACAACATAAAAATGTTAAGCTTGTCTCATCAGTAAGTATACCTTAAATAATGTTAAAAATTTAGACAAATAACAAACTGGGAAAAATACATTCTTAACGTTAAATACAGGACAGATAGGTTAACATCCTGAATATGTAAAGAGCTTTGATGAATCAGTTTAAAAATGGAAACACCCAGTAGAAAAAATTTAAAAGGACATGTTGTGAACAAGCAGTTTGTAGGAGATATTAATGGCCAATAAACATGAAAAAAAAGTTCAGCTTCACTAGTAACCAAAGAAATGAAAATGATATACCATTTTATATTTACCACATCTGCAAAAATTAAAAAAGAGTGATAAAACCCAGTAGGGCTTCTCACAGATCCATCTCCTCCAAGCTTGTTATATCAGAGGTGGGAACTTACTTCTCGTTGTTTTTTGGTTCTTGTTTTTTTAAATAACAGGTTTATTGAGGTAATTCACTTGATTTTTATATGCCAAGTAAGAAGAGCTAATTTTTATTGGCTAAAGCTGCTTTGTCGTATTTAGCTAGACAGGTTAGTAATACCAGGAATAAAGTAAAAGCATTGTAATTATTGGTTTTATAAATGTAATCTCTGCACTTTATGAACAGGTAGACAGTTGCTTTCTCTTTTTCATCTTCTGAGGCATATACAAGAAAAAAGCTGAAAGCATTCCCCAGTTATGGGGAATTTGTTTGACTAAATTATGGTATAATTTTACAATAGAATATTATATAGTTATTAAGAGTGATGATAAGGAACTAATTATTGATATGGAAAGATGTTAATGTATATGGTTCAGTGGTACAAGCAGATGATAAAACTGTCGACTATGATCCTATTTTTATAAGTATATGTATTACATGTATATTTACACAAGAAATTGCCTAGAACACCAGTTGATATGCGTAGGTGTTGGGATTTCAGATGATTGAATCTCACTTATTTTTAAACAGATTTATCGAGATAAAATTGACATTCTATACAGTTCACCTATTTAAAGTGCACAGTTCAATGGCTTTTAATGTATTCACAGAGTTGTGCAGCCACTGCCACAATTTTAGAATATTTTCATTACCCCCAGCCCTAGATAACCACTAATCTAATTTCTCTCTATACATAGATTTGCCTCTTCTGGACATTTCATATAAATAGAATCATACAATATGTGGTCCTTTTAACTTAGCATAGTGTTTTTCAAGGTTCATCCATATCTTGGCATGCATCAGGGCTTTATTTCTTTTTATATCTGCATAGTATTCCATTGTATGACTATACCACATTTTATTCATCCATTCATCAGTTGATGGACTTTAGGGTTGTTTCCACCTGTGGGCTATAAGTTTTTGTGTGAATGTATGTTTTCATTTCTGTAGGGTATCTACCTAGGAGTAAAATTGCTAGGCCATATGGTAACTATGTTTAACAGCCTGAGGAACTGCCAGACTGTTTTCCAAAGCAGCTAGCTGCACCATTTTACACTCCCACCAGCAGTGTATGAGGCTTCCTCACCAACACTTGTTTTTATCTCTGTTTTTGATTGTAGATATCCTAGTGGGTATGATGTAGTATCTCATTTATTATTATTTTCTAATTTTTAAAAAATAAACCTTTAGTTACCTGTGCAATTTAAAAATGTTTTCAAACACTGAGGACAAGGGAGAATGCTCGCAATATAAGGCTAAGTGGAAGCAGAAAACAAAGCTCATGATCCCGATGATCCCAGTTTTGAGCAAAGGATTTGTTGAAAGTGATAATAGCTACAGATGGTGGGCCGCCTCCTTTCTACCCGGCTTCGTGTGGGCTTCTTGACTCCATTTTCTCATTGAGTCCTCACGCGGACCCTTCAGATGGTGAGAAGGCAGAGACCCAGGGTGGTTCAGTCATGTCCCACAGCCAGCGAAGGGCTGTGATCAGACCCTGGGGTGTGTTCCACCGGGTCCACTTGTCCTTAGAATGAAGGAAAGGCACCAGATTGTGCGTAGTCATGATCCCAAGTACTGAGGTGGCAGGAGGTGCTTATTTCTTCCTTATGCTTTTTAGTATTTCCCCCTACTTTTTCTTGAGTTAGCATTAGTTACCTTTATAATCAAAGAACACATTTAAGTAAGTTAATGTAATATTCCAAGATTGTATTACATTTTATAATATTTACATTAAGCAGTCCTTTTTCTTTTCCACCCATAAAGGGCTTGTAACTCAATGTTCACTGCATTAGAGAAAAGTCAAGAAGCAATTGAAATTACAAGTGAAGACCACATTGTACAGGTTTGTTGTTTTGGAAGCTTGTCCTGCTGAATTTCTGGTTTGTTTGCATTTTTAAGATTGAACCCCTTCAGTATGTTTTTTTGTGTTTTTTTCCTCTCTTTGAAGTTCAAGGGACCAGTTTTTCCTTAGAGGATTATCAGAACAAAATCTATAAAATATATAATTTAAAATAAGTTCCCTATAGGTAAGAAAAGGTTCCAATAATTACTTAATGTGCTAGAAAATATTCTGTAAATGCAATTAGCATTTGCTATTTCTCACTTTTTTGCATATTTATTTACTTAGCAAGGAGGAACTTTTATCCAGAGGATGGTTTCTGCGGCGGAGTGGGGTAGAGAGAGACTGTTGCAGCAAGGAGAGGCTCTGCCCATAAGGGCTGCACGCTCTCACCTTTCTTACTGTTTTTGAAGATAGTTTACACCTATAGGAATTTACTAGAAGCTACTCAAAATTTCAAAAATAAACTAGCAATTACTTCACAAATTATCCATTATTAGAAAAGTGGCTTCATATAAGTGACTGAAGATAACATGGCTTTCAGATAACAGCAAACAGGTAACATGTATTTTCATATAACAGCAAAAGAGGGAGTTGTGCCAGGGGAATGTGCCTTTTGTCTGAGAATGAGCCCCACTTTGATTTTAGTTCTGAGCACTCCAGTTCTTCACTTTAATCGAGCTAGTGACTTTCTTGGTAAAGAGTTGATGATGTTAGCATTCAGGATGGTGCCCTGACAGGCGACATTGGCCGGTGGTTGAGGGCACAGGCTTGGTATCAGTCAGGCCTGGCTTCCAATCAGCCTCGGCCCCTTCCTAGCTGGGCATCTTCGGGCAGGTGACTTAATCTGTCTGAATTTGCTGTCTCATTTGTACAAATGGGAATAATATTAACGCTAACAACGACTTACCTTTTGTAAGGATGTTCTGAGGATTAAATGTGTTACTGTGTGTGAAGTGCTTTTACTACAGTGCCTAGCAAGGAAAACAGACCTTAAACAGTATGATTATTGTTTTATCATCGTCATTATTTGTTATTCCTATCAGCACATGCACAGCTTTCCCATACATTTTCTTCTAGTCTTACAGCCCTATTTGAAATTTAACCATAAAGCCTTGCATTTGTAAACACTTCCTAGTTCACAGCCTGCTTTCCAAACTCATTATTCATTTGCATCATATGAGAGAGGCGAAATAAGTGTTTCATTCCCATTAAACAGACGTGCAGACTGAGACTTGGAGGGGTTAAGTGACTTGTGGGAGTAGACCCTGGGTTTGCAGACTCCCAGTCTGGTGCTTTCTTCCACTGTATCATAATCTCAACAGCCCTTTTGTAGCAGCCCTGGGTCTGTCTCCATGCAGCTTCTTTCCTCTGCTGGTGTTTAAGTGGAGTGGGCCTGCTGCCCTCCCTGCAGCCTCAGGAGAACAAGGCAGCAAGCCCAGCCCGGTGTCATCGGAGCAGAGGCTTCTCCAGACTCCAAGGTTTTTCTGGGGTTGTGCTCTTGTGGCTTTAGAACCGTCGTAGTGAGCGCCAGGCTGCTGGGCTTTCTGGGGGGAAAATATGATGGTTTAGGTTTAACATCTCTGATTGTCCTCTTTTCAAAATTTCTTTTAATTCACATGATGTTTTTTCCTTTGTCTCCCCCCAGTATGCAAATCCAGCATTTGAAACAACAATGGGCTATGAGTCAGGTGAATTAATAGGGAAGGATTTAGCAGAAGTGCCTGTAAATGAAAAAAAGGCTGATTTGCTCGATACTATAAATTCATGCATCAGGATAGGCAAGGTAAGTAAGAGGTCACTACCCTTGTTACTCTCACATAACAAAAAGGGAAGGAAGGAAGGAGACCTAGCGCTCACTGAGCACTGCTAGAGCCAGGTGATCTCAGTCTCACTCTTCCCAGAAGCCTGGGGAAGTGTAGGTAGTGTTATCTCTGTTATGCCCATTTTGCAGATGAGGAAATTGAGGCCAAGAAAGTATATAAATCCTGACCAGCCAATAAGAGTAACTCTGACTCTTAACATCATTGTTTTCATTTTTGTAATAAGTGAGTAAGTTGATCTTTCTAATAATTGATCTTCTAAGTGGTAGCTGTTGGCAAATGGTCTGGGTAAAGGATTGCCAGTGAGTTAACACATTCTCAGAACACATTGGAGCCCATCAGTTCTCTGAGCCTCGTTCATTCATTCAGCATTTTTTGAACGCCAGGTGTGCTAGGTTCTGGTATAGAAAGAAGGGCAAAACAAAAATCCCTTAGAGAACTCATTCCAGGGTGCAAAACAGACAGATAAAAGTAGTCATTGCATTGTGATGTGAGATGTTACAGCACCCTGGTGCTGAAGGGGTAGACAAAGCAAGGCAGGGTCAGTCTGAAAGGTTATTTCTCTCTCTGAACTGTGGCTTCTGACAGCACCTCACTGTTATATTAGGTCTTAAAATATGATGAGAAGGAAAAGGCTACTGCTTTCCATAGTCATTCTTAGGCTTTTCTGCTGGGCTCTTTTTAACTTTTAGAAGTTGGGACTGTGAATCTGATTATTCAGAACATTTGAAAAATTGGTGACCTGCTCTCTTGCTGGCTGTCTGGAGGCCCTGTGGAAGTGATGCCCTTTCTCTGGTGCCTATCCCTTAGCACACAAGGGCAGTCTGCCAGAGGGGGCAGAAGGGCTATGCAAAGCTTATACCCCCACTTGGCTTGGGCCCCTCGAAGACACCGTGAGTGGGCTGCTGTCCTTTGCTTTCCCGCGGCTCTGAGCACACGAGATGGCTTTGCAGTGAGAACAGGGAAAGAACAGGCCAGCGGCGGGGCCCGGTGATGCACTCTCAGGGGAATCACAAAAATGGGCACTGCTTGAATCCTATTTTGCCTTCAGCTTTTCTGTCAGGATGATGATTTTCTTGCTAGAGAGAGTGGCAGGTCCTCTGGATAGAGAAATGAAGGCTGAGATGAATGAAGAGACAGACCCTTAGGTGTTCAGGCCCACCAGTGTTCCCTGCCTGGGCCGAGAGGGGCGTCCTCGGAAGGCAGCTCCAGAACGGCAGCCATTCCAGACCCCCGCAGCCTTTGAGGGGCCTTACCATGGCCTCCCCAGTCCTGGCGGTTTGGTCCAGTGCTGCCACTGGGTCAGCCAGCAGTTCTGCTGTGAGGTTCAGCAGGGTGTGAAACAGATGGTGGCTCTCATGCTCCTTGATCTGGCAGCTGCCCTTGCAGTGAGGAGAGCAAGTTGAGGTGGGGGTGGGGGCACCCAGTGGATTAGCTGTAGGCCCTGGGATTCACCCAGATCCCTGTGAGCAGCATCTTGCCTCCTGAGGTATGCCACTGGGCACCAGGTGCAAAGGGCCTCGACAGCCGGACACCTGCTCTCTAAAGTCTGTATTTGCTATGAGCAGAGAATACGAAAGGTTATCACACTGTCAACCTCTGTACTGCTTTATTTCAAAAAGAAACCAGGTGGGGATATATGTATATGTATAGCTGATTCACTTTGTTATACAGCAGAAACTAACACACCCTTGTAAAGCATTTATACTCCAATAAAGATGTTTAAAAAAAAAAAAAGAAAAAGAAAAGGAACCAGAGCATTTGTTTTGCATGATTGCAAGTTCTTGGGGAGAGTGCAAAAGCTGCTGTTTGTCCTTTGTTGGTACCCTGCTGGTTCACGGGCAACACTGCAGCAGGACAGACCACTTAGCTGGGCAATTTTTTGGGGAGAAAGATATATGGCCTTTCTAATCAAGTCTCCCTCGGGAGAGGGAGGGCTTGTTGAGAATCAGCCAGCCCTTGGCAAACAATGGTACCATGGTCAGTGGAGAGAGTTCAGACACGTGCTGGGAACCAGGATGGAGCCTTTGGAAGTGGTCAGATGACCGGGAGGGGCTTTGGAATGTCAGATTCTAGGTGTCCAGCCAGTTGGATATTCTTGGGGGCAGAGGAGAAATTCTGATGATGTTCAAACAGAGAACACTGCGAACACCACTCTCTATAAACCTCCTCTGCCTGCTGTTCTCAGCCACTGGCTCCCCTTTCAGGTAAAACTGATACTGTGAGGCACCTTGATTTTCAGTCCCACACTCCTGCTTCCTTCCTCCCTTTATGTATCCTTCTTGGCTCTCCTCCTGTTTCTTCTTCCCCAGGTCTTCTCTGTCAGGGCCCTAGAACCCCTGGCCTCCTATCTTCTCAGATACCTGAGCCTTATATTGCCTCTTCTCTTTTAGAAATTTTGCATTTTTTTCCCCTCAGAAACTGTCTTGCAGGGGCTGAAGGAATGTGGGCTGCTCGGCTGGCTGCCTCCGATAATGATGTGCAGTCGCAGAGCCCTTTAGCTCTTTACACCTTTTACCTTCCCCAGCTCCTGGGAAGCCAGGAGCCTTCCTCCCTCGCCGCCTCCCCTCTTCTCCCACTTTTCCCCCATCTCTTTCCTCCCAGGTTTACCAGGGCTCTTTGTCCCCTGCTGGTTCCTCAGAAAGCTCCCTTTGTTGTTGAGCATCTTTCCTGCTCTGCGTAGATGTCTCCCACCTTCCCAGTTTTAGCCCCAGTGTCTTTTCCAAGGTCTGTTTCAACATCCTGCTGTCATTTTGGTATCACCTTGTATAACGGTGATTTTCTCTCATCCCCCATTAACAAAAAGCCCGATCCCCCTCCACCTCTTCTGTCTACTGCTCGTTGACCGTCCACACAGTTGCCTGGACTTTGATTCCTGGAATAGTTTTGGTTTCTCCCTACCCTTTAGCCCCCTCCATCAAATCCATCACCAAGGCTTGATGTCTGTTAAACCCCTGCCTTTGAGGGTCCACTGCCTGGGCCTGACTGTGTTCAGGGCCCTCTTCCCACACACTGAGACTGCGGTGGCTGAATGTAGTTAGGCCTCCCTGTCCCAGGACCCTCCACTTCTGGCCAGTCCACCCTACGCTACTGGAGATTTGTCTCACCAGATCACCACTTTGATCATGTCACTCCCTCTGTGTAGAGCTCAAGTCCCTCATCCTGGGTGCCAGGATTCCGTGATCTGACTTTGGCCTCACTTTTCCATTCAGTAAACAAAAGCCCCAAGTGTTCTTTGACTGTTTACCACCTGCCAGCACAGTGCTAGCCCCTGGGATAGGACAGCTGGATGATGATGATTTAATTCTTAAGCCAGTGGGCACACACCAAGAAGGAACTGTCTCAGTAGTCAGCGAAGTCCAGCTCGGTGCTGAGCTTGCCCCGGAGTAGAAGGGAGGTGCACGCCTCAGTGTAGTTCTGAGAGAGGAGCTCAGCCTGAGAGAGACAGACAGACACCTGTGCGAAACCAAACAGGCCACGTACTGGACATTTGCCGTGTGTCAGGACTTGGCTAAGAGTTTATGTGTGTTACCAGATTTAATCTTCATAACAGCATGCTAGGTAGGACTTTACTATTTTTAGGAACTGAAACTTCGATTTTTGATAAGAAATATGATCTGTGTTAAGTGAATATTTTTTGTTTGTTGACTGGAAGACTTACAGGCAACTCTGTTATCTAAGCAAAGTCATTGGCTAAGTTGTCCTCCATTAGCTGGACCGTCCAGCGCTGGCTGACGTGGCTTCTTACACCTTGACTTGGGGTCCGGCAGCCACCCACTCTGTTCAGAAAGCATTGAAGGAGAAAATCCTGAATATGTGTTTTGAAGTGCTGATTGATTGACCGAATCGGTCTCCCGTATTTTCCCTCTCTTTTTATGTAACAGCTCTGTTGAGAGACAATTCACATGCCATACACTCCATCCATTTAAAGTATACAGTTCAGTGGTGGTTGGTATGTTCACAGAGTTTTGCAAATATCACCTCAGTCAGCTTCCCGTATTTCTCTTGATAGTGAGCTTCAGAAGTAACTCTTAGACCTGTCTGCGGAAGCCTTCTCTGGTGGCTGCATGGGGCTGTGGACGTGGAGGACAGGCTCCAGATTCCTGCCCAGGGATCCCTGTCTAGTCCTTGCCCGATTCGGTCCCAGGCCACTCTCCCCTCAGAACCGTAGTGAGGAAGGCCCACACCTCCCTTCTGCTCCAGGGCAAGTAAGCACCTCGCTGGGCTCTTGGGCTGTTTTTTAATTTAGTCCTTTCTTGGCGCCCATTGTTTTCAGAAGGACGTCGGGAAGCCCCAGTAACCATCCTTTGCTTCTGTCAGCGTCCTGGTTTCTCTTGGATCCACTTTGCCAGAGGAGTCTGAAGATGGGATTTTACCATTAGCATTTGCATGCAGGTCACCACGCCCCAAGCACAGATTTCAGAATTGACTTTGTGTAAGAGTATGGACAGGAGGCTTGAGCCAGGCTGCCATGGTGTTCCCCTTCCCACCTGGGTCAGCTTTAGCTCCTGTGGGACTCTGGAAGGTCGAGAAGGGTATGAAACACCCTGGGAGTTCAAGGTCCTACAGTGGGTTTTAGGGATTTTTCTAGCTTAAGGACCTTGGTGACTCTTGGAGAAATTCAGAACGTTTTAGGTGGTCACAAAACCCAGCTCCGTCCCACGCTTCTCTCCACCACCCTCAGAGTAGGGGAGCCACCTGTAGCCCCTGTTTGCTCACTGTGGTCATAGCCTGGGCACACCTGCTCTCCCAGTGCAGCTCCATTCTGAAATGGCAGCTCTGGCTTCTAAGGTCTCACTTGGTTATTCTGCCTGAGCCCAGTCCTGGCTGTTACTTCATTATCCCCACCCTACCTGCAGAGGGTACACAGCACAGAGGGTGGCTCCTTCTCTGCCCCAGTCTGAGACTCTCCCCCTCCCAAATGCAGGGGCAGAGGCCACACTTCCCCCCTCCACTGCGGCAGGTAGGAGTTGTGAGAGGAGGAACCTGGACGAGAAGGGTGTTCCTCATTCATGGGCCCAGGGCCTCTCTTGCCAGCAGAAAGCCACTGAAAACATATGGCCATTTAGACTGTGGTGACCTGGCTTTTGTTGTCAGTCTAGGGAGGAGATGGACTTGGGAGGTTGAGAAAGAATTGTCCGATTACCCAAAATTGCCTTTGGGGTTGGGATGATTTTATTATCCTAATAGCTTTAGTGGCCATGGTAAAGGTGTGGAAACCTGAGGTGGAAAATGCTCTTGGGTTTATGTTTTGAACACAATGTATAATGATGTCTACATTCCATTTATAGGAATGGCAAGGAATTTGCTCTGCCAAAGAGAAGAACGGAGATAATGTACAACAAAATGTGAAGATACTACCTGTCATCGGGCAGGGAGGGTAAGTGGAAAAAACGAGTACTTCAATCAACATACCACGTTCGGCTTATTGCAAAATGTGCTTTGAATACTTAAGTAAGTTGAGAACTGCATGCAGAAATTTATAAGAAAGACTTGTAACAAGGTCAGGTACCATCAAAGGATGGCCTTCCAGGGTGGCTTCCTCACAGTCACAGCCTGACCCTCCAGCTGGTGACCCAGAGCCGCCACACTCCGACAGTCTTAAGCTGTGTGAACACTTAAGAGACTAAAGTATTTCAATCTGAATGCCACTTTACTGAGCTGTGTGCTAAGAACACTCACTGGTGGACTCCCTGTGTTTAAAAGATTTTTACCTAATTTGATAGCCTATGTGTTATTTCTGCACAGAACTATCAAATTAGATAAAAGTATTTTAAATACTCTCATTTACGGAAACGCACATGAAGCAGATGTGACCACAGATTGGAAGGCAGTGTATATCAGGAGCCTGAAAACGTCATATGGTTTGTCTCAGAATCTATCTTAAATAATACGAACAGTGGAAAATTATGAACGTGAACTGCAGAATACCCAACGATAAAATACGCAACCATTAGAAATGATGATCATAGAAAATTAAATTATAGGGGAAAATGTTTTTGATAAATGCAAAAGTCAAAATGTAAAATCGTACCTAGTGTACGCTCTCAGTCATGAACATGAAAGAGGGACAAAAAGACCAGGAGGAGGTGTAGCGATGATGATTGTAACAACTGCCGCTGTCCGTGAGCCCTTCCCTCCCTGGGCAGGCTCTCAGTGCCTGGTAGGTGTCACTTCATTTCATCCTGGCCACAGCCCCATGATGTCGGCACTGTGACCGTCTCTGTTTGACAGACGAGGAGCCTGAGGCTTAGAGAGGTGAGGCTGGCCCAGAGTCCGGCCACCAGCGCTCAGCGGAGCCGGGCTGCAGGCCTCTGCGTTGACTGCATGGCTCACGTGCTTGGTCACCAGGCTCTGCTGCCGGCTGGCGATTGCCTCAGGGAGACGGCTCTGTGTGGGCTCTCTGTTCTGATTCTCTGCCTTTTTTGGCCTTTCCAAATTGGGGGAGGATAACTGTAGGGATTGGATTATCAAGGGGAAAAGCTGAAAAATCGAAAATAAGTGAGGAGAGTCAGCATCTTCTGAGAGAAGCCCCAGTTGCTTTGTTCTAGACTCGCACATTCGGCCCCAGTGTGGCCTGTGGCTGTTTCCATGAATGACTGTGAGCAGATTGTTTGCTGAAACTTCAAGAAGAGCATCAAAAGAGAGGGCTGTGAAACTGTGAAAACATGTTAAGGAATTAGAGGCTTTGGGTTGGTTAACATGTAGTACATTTTTAAAACCTAGGTACTTTTTATTGTGTGTCGTGATGACTCAGAAGGATTTTGTTGTTTTTACTGAAGAGTCAACTTCTCTTCTACGGAGACACCAGAGGATGCTTGTAGACTCTTGTTTGTTTATTGGTGGCCTTGGCCACACACAAATAGAACTGCTGTCCTCCAAGCATTGTATGTATTGTGAAAGAGAGATGCTCCTTTCCTAATGAAAAATTAGCTAGATATCCACCAGAATAGAGAGCCAGGAGAGAAATAATACATTGTTTTCTACTTGCAGAAAAATTAGACACTATGTGTCCATTGTCAGAGCGTGCAATGGCAACAATAAGGTATGTAAGGAGAGCCCTTGGGACCCCAGGGACCCAGCAAGATTTCCCTTACTGTATAACTAGGCACTCAAAACTAATGTCTTCTAAAATTCATTTTTAGGCTACGAAAATAGCTGAATGTGTTCAGTCTGACACTCATACAGGTATGGTGCCCCATATTCATTCTTAGGGTTCACTGAGCTTTTGAAAAAATAAAAAAATAAAAACAGGCCCTGCCTCTGACGAGCTTGTCTGTTGCGTAGGTGGGACTGTATTTTCCTAGCACCGTGGCAGCATTTCTCTCCCTGACTCCCAGGCTGGTTTATGAGTCAGAGGACCTGAGCACAGGTGGGCGATATGACAGGTGTCCTGGGGTGGGTCTCAGCCTGTGGGGAGAGAACTGGTCATCTCCATTGCATGAACTTATGTGAAGATGTGTTGAGTGGAGTGTGGTCTGTTGGCATGATCTGTGCTCGAAGAGGCAACTGTGTTGGTTTCAGACTACAGTGCTTTAGCAGGGATGCTTTCACCACCAGCCTACGGGGAGGTAGGTGGACCCCATCAGACCTGCCTCACGTCGTATCCGTCTCGTGAGGACTTGATGTGCTTTGGACACCATCCGCTCACCCCATGTCTATGTTTTTCCCTGGCCTGGAATCACCTGTTTCCTTCCAGCATATATCATGGCTTCAGCAAGCCACTTTCCTACTCTGGCCATTACCTGTGATGGTGCAGGTCCTCTCCGGCTCCATGCCAGAGGTTCTCCATCCAGCCTGTGTGGATGCTTTATAGCACCCTGCCATGCCCAGGCAGTGCTCTGGTTGCCCAGCTGGTCTGTAAGAGCCTCCAAGGAGAAGACTTTGTCTTCCATACCGTCAGCTGTTGATGGTGTGCTTTCAGCAGTACCGGCACAGTTCACTCATTCATTCTAGGAATGTTTCCCACAAGTTTTTCTGAGTGTTTGTTGTGTACAAGGCACTGTGCTGAGTGCTTAACTTACGGTGTATTTAGTTGAAGCCTTGCAATAACCCAGAGGGATAGACGCTTAATAGATGAAGTTCCCTTTTTACAGATAAGGAAACTGAAAGGCTACCTAATTTGCCCAGGGATATCCATCTAGGAAGTGGGAGAGTTGGCACTCAAATCCAGATGGCCAACTCCAGAAGCTCTGAAGCACATGCTGGAACAGTTCTTGTGGGCGCCCCAAGAGTAATCAGGCTTGAATCGGAAAAGAGGAGAGACATACTGACACGAAGGGACACATAGCAAGTGATAAGAAGTGATCATTAGTGGGTGAGAAAGGCAGAGGAAGAGGGAGGGGGACGTTCCAGACAGGGAGAGGTGGATTTGAGTAAGAAGATGGGTGTGAGAGGAAAAGCATTCCAGAAATACATACAGTTACTGAACAGGGAAAGTACAGAGTGTGTTCTAGAAAGAGCAAGAGCAGGGTTAGAATTCTGACTGGTATAAAAAAGGTCAGTGTGGAAGGGAGTTGGGATCGTGAAGGATCCTTAGATGCTAGGTGGGAAATCAGGATTTTCATTGGTAGACAGTGGGAGTTTGAGGATTTTTGAGCAAGGGAATAGTATAATGACGCCTGAGCTCTAAGCTTTTAGAGCCTGTATGTAACAGATTACATGGAAGGAGGGACCAGAGACGAGAATACCAGCATTGCCATCGTGTAGAGGAGAGAAAACAGGCCAGGGCATAATTCATCCAAAACAGTGCACGGGCACCACGTGCCAGGCCAAGTGACTGTCTCTGCTTGGCGAAGCCTGCTGTCTGTGCTTCTTAGCAGGGGGATGGGTAGCACAGGGGAGGAGGAGGGGGTCCGGAAGGGCCTTGCCAGCAACGTGCCAGGTTCCGGGTCGGGTGGTGCGGAGCAGGGCTTCAGCGTATTTTACAGGTGTCCTCGTGCGCTGCCAGGGTGGGGGCTGGGCAGACCTGAAAGGAGTGTTACTCTGGATCTGGAGAAAGTGAGCTTTCTCGGGCGCAGGAGGAGGGAGCTCCCCGTGTGCGAGGCCGCAGGGAACCCGCGGTTGGGCAGCGGCTGGAGGCTTGGCAGTGTGGGGTCGGTGAGACCCCGAGGCGGGGGGAGGGGGTGTCCCGGTGCAGGGCAGGCCCTCCTCAAAGGCTTGGACGGTTGAGAGTGTCTGAGAAAGTTCTCTGAAAGTCTGTTCCCAGCAGAGTGACTTTGGGGCAAGTCATGCAAGAAACCTGGTTCTCTGCTTCCTCCCCCCGGGGGACCACGGTGTTGGTGTTGGGATGGAGGCTGCCTGTTCGCGGGGCTGCGGGATGGTTCCTGCTCCTCACGGCTTCTCCAGGGTCTCCTGGATTTGCCCAGCAGGCCAAGGAAACCCTGCTAACCTTCCTCTCCTAAAAAGATGGGCAGTGCGAAGGATCGCAATTTTCTGGAACAGGAAGCTGAGTGCAGACACGTGAAGTCGCGGGCGGTGCTGAGCCTGAGCTGGCTCGGCGGCCAAGGCCTGTTGAGCGTTCCCTCCTGCTCCTGCGGCGCGCGGCTGCCTCAGGTCTCGGGTCATTCGTGGGCGTGGAGCCCTCTCGAGGCAGGAGGGCCTGTGCGCGGGCTCGTTCAGGCTGTGGGCTGGTTGAGAGGTCAAGGTCACCCTGCTGCGAGCCCCTCGGCCCTCCCTGCAGGAGCAGCAGCCCAGCAGGTGGAGGTACCTTAAGAACCAGCTGCAGAGCTCTGCAGGGACTCAGACAGAGGAAGAGAAGCGGGCTGAACACGGCGGTCACAGGAAGGTCTGGTCTTGCCTTAGGGGAGTCACTTAAACGCTGAGTAGAAGTTCAAGCCTGCTTCGCCTCCCTCCACACCTGCCACAGCCCTGGCCTTGGGACACGTTGCTCCTTGCTTCCCTCCAGCCAGCTCTGCCCCGTCTGCGCAGGCAGCGTCCTCCAACAGGAAGTGCCTTCCTCCTCTGCCGGCCTCCTGCTGCAAAACATGCCTCATCTCCTCTCTGCCCCCCTCCCAGAGGAGACCTGCCCCTTCCTCCTGGGGCTCCTTTTGCTCCCCAGCATCACGACTGTCACTCTTAGTTCACCCGTGTTTGTTCCCCTCCGACTACCCCCTTTGAGGGCATGGACCCTACTATATTCATCCTCACACCCCTAGCGCCTGGCTTAGAGCCTGACACGTGGTAGGTGCCCAGTAAATGTTTGTTGAGTGCCCTCGTGTCATTCACAGCTAGTGAGGAAGTCAGTCAAGTCAGTAAAGCAGGCGGTTACCAGCAATGTTGGGGGTGAGGCATTAGGGCAGGATTTCCCAGAGGTGATGATACCTGAGCCGCATCTTACCTGCGTCTTCAAAGAGGATCGAGAGTTAACCAGGTGAAGGAGGCGTCAAGGGAGGGGTGCCTTCCTAGGTGGGGGTAAGCAGTTTGCACCGAGGCACAGAGGTTTGGGAGTGAACTAGCACATCATGAATAGTTCATGGTGGCTGGAGAGAGGAGGTCCAGATACCACAGGACTCTGGGTGCCACACTGGGGAGTTTAAATCTGATCCTAAAAACAGTGATGAACCATTAAAATGTTTTAATTGGGAGAGTGATCTGATCAGATTTTTGTTTCAGAAGGATCACTTGGCTGCCCATGGAGAATGGGTTGAAGGGGGCAAAGTTGGGGTCGGTAGGACCAATGAGGGGAGGCTGTCATTATAATCCAGAGGTGGATGACAGGTGTCTGAGCCAGGACAGGGACAGAACAGGGGTAGATTAAAGAGGTGTTTAGGAGGTCGAATCCATAGATTTATCTGACCACTTGAGGGCAAGGAACAAGGAGGAGTCATGGATGACTTGTCTCCAACTTAAGCAAAAAGGTAGATGCCGTTCAGCAGCCTGGGATAAGCAGTGATTTAGGAGAAGATACTGAGTTCATCTGGGTAGTGAGCTCGTGTGAAATTCCCGAGGGTGTCCAGATGGAGGTGACGAGTGGCCAGTTAAGATGTAAGTCTGGAGCTCAGGAGAAAGGCCTGGCATTAAGACAGCAACACAGGAATTGGGAAAAGCTGTAGAACAGGATGAGGTCTCCTGAGGAGATTGCGTTGTCTGAGAGGGAGGGCTAAGAGGACTGAACCTTTGGGAACACCAGGGGTGCTGAGGAAGAGAGAATGAATCGTGATGGAAACTAGGAAGGAACAGTAAGAGGTGCAAGGAAAGCCAGCGTTGGACTTGTGCAAACCAGGAGTCTCCAGGAAGCATGATCAGTTGTGTCTAGTACCACAAGTCAGGTAAGAAGTGAACGGTGTCCTTCAGATATAGCAACAGGGAGGTCATCAGTGACCTTGACAAGGTCACTGCCAGTGCCCACATGGAAGAGAAGGTAGCAGATAGCAAGTGGAGAAGGTTCCGGATGGTGGGGAGAAGTACCAAGGGCCTGCCTTTGGATCCTGTTTGTGAGCAGGAATCCAGATGAGGAAGCCGGGAGAAGGCAGAGAAGACAGAAGCAGCTGCAGGTGCGGAGAGCTGAGCTCGAGCGCCGGCTGTGTGCTCACTTGTCCGCACAGCGGCTCCCAGTCTCCTCGTCTGTGAAATGGGGACGGGTTGGGGAGGCTTGCCACCACGTGTGACACGTGGCAGGTGCACAGAGGAGGGCACGAGAAGGAAGGTCAGCTTTGCCTTGTCATTGATTGGCGTGGAGTGAGGGAGAGAGGAGTCAAAGACAAGCCCTGTTTGGGCCTCGAAATGCAGTGGTGCCATCCACGGGAGGAGGGGCAGAGAAGTGCGCCCCGGACTAGTGCTCCTGTGCCACCCTCCCAGAGAGAGGCACATTCCTCCCAGGGACATTTTAGAGCTTGTATTGTAGAAAAAAAATACAAAAAAAGATTTTTGTTTTTTTTTTTCCCTTTGGGGCAAGGGTGGATGGAGATCAAAATTTTCCCACCACTTTATTCAATTACATAGAAATATAATAGGTGAAATTCTCTTGAGTTCATTTCTGCTAGTTTTTGCATCGTGGGACTCTGTGATTACATAATCTGGAAACTGAAAAGCACTACTTTATGACTGTACCAGGTGGGACATTTTGAGAAAGTCAGCGTCCCTTAAAACGTAATTGTTCACAGCCTTTATCTCTGTGCACTCCGTTGATTTTTGTGGCTTCCTAAATGGTATTCTAATGCTTAAATTTTGTTTTTTAAAACCTTTATATTGGTAAGTTTCCTAATATGTTGTTAAAATCCCTTTGCAGAGGTAATGTATAATTTAATTGTTTCCACAGATCATCAGTCAGGCAAACATAACGACAGGAGGAAAAGCTCACTAGATGTCAGAACTGCTGCCTCTCGAACAAGCAAAGGTAGGTGACAAAGACAAGAGGAGAAAGCATGGTCCTGTGAGTATTGAACCCATGGAGACGTGTGACACTCCCTCCCCAGTCTGATCTCTGGGTCACTGCCCCCCTCCAGCTCAGGAGAGGGAAGGGGACCCTCTAGCAGTCTGTGTCCATTCCTCCCTCACCCCCAACTCCTTTGCCAGTGGGTTCCATTCTGACCCTTTTGATGGAGTCAGGGAATAAAGAAAAAGAAAAAGATACATTTTACCGTCTGTTCTCTAGTTGATTTTTTTTTTTAATTAATTAATTTATTTTTGGCTGAGTTGGGTCTTCGCTGCTCTGCGTGGGCTTTTCTCTGGTTGCAGCGAGTGGGGGCTACTCTTCGTTGCGGTCTGTGGGCTTCTCATTGCAGTGGCTTCTCTTGTTGTGGAGCACGGGCTCTAGGCACACCGGACCTTCGGTAGTTGTGGCGCGAGGACTGTAGAGCGCAGGCTCAGTAGTTGTGGCGCACGGGCTTCTTAGTTGCTTTGCGGCATATGGGATCGTCCCAGACCAGGGATCGAACCCATGTCCCCTGCATTGGCAGGCAGATTCTTAACCACTGCACCACCAGGGAAGTCCTCTAGTTGATTTTCTAAACTGTAACAGCAGACGTCAGTTTATCTGTTGTAATTGTATGAGTAATGCATTTGGAAGTTCTCAGCGATATATTCCATTGTGGGTTGCAGTTTGCCATGGAAGCTTACCTTTTGGTGGGGAAGTAAGTGAGCTGCATTTGGGGATGTGAAAGACTTTTCATAAGCAAATATTATTTAAGTTCTAAGTGGAATATAATTTTTTAACGGTTATGTAGATATGTGGCCTGAATGATCTAGAAGTTTTAAAAATGCAATGGAAATTATCTATAGATAGTGTGGAGGCAAATATTACTGCTAGCTATGTACTTTCTTTGACTCAGAGATGAATTGGGAAGCAATAGGGAGCTGATTGTTACTAGATAAACAGCGAAAACTTTGCAGATGTTACAGTGGAGATCCAGTGCCTCACTTCTCTCACGGGTTGGTCGTGAGGAGTGGAAAATATGCCGTGTGTCCCTTGCACTGAAAAGACGAAACGGATCCCACCCCTGCTGCAAGGGCAGGGAGCAAAGTGGTGTTACAGGGAAGAGTATGGACTTCGGCCTCAGCATTGCTTTGATTCAGGTCCCAGCTTCATCTACTTTCTGTGCAACCTTGGGGGTAGACCTTTGTGCTTCCATTTCCTCATCATCATATGGGGATCATTATGCTGTCCACAGAGGACCACGTAAGGATGAAATGAGTGAGCGTGGTGCCTGGCCAGGGTCGTGGCAGCAGCTGTCACCGTCCTCACTGTGGCCCTCATGGTCACGGCCCTCGGGCACAGCAGAGCAGAGGCGAGGTCACTCGTGCCCCAAACTGTCTTTACCGCCACGCTCTGACTTCTGTTCATCCTTTGGATTACTTTGTCCATTTCTGTATTTTTGAGAGTTAAAACACTTTTCTTTTAATGTTTGTGGGTTTTAACCACTGTTCTTTTTAATTGACTTATAATTTACATATAATACAATTCATATTAAGTGTTGAGTTCAGTGGGTTTTGACAGTTCTGTACATTGAACTGTATAGACTGTAACCACCCAGCCCAAAATAGATACAGAAAATACACACGTGCAGGCCTGCACTTGCGCACATATTTCACCACACAGAGGCATCCACTGATTTCTTGCACCATAAGCTAATTTGGCCTCTTCTTGCGCTTCATAGAAATGGAGTCGTATAGTATGCACTGTCTGTGTGTCTGGCATCTTTCACTCATTTTAGTGTTCTTGAGATTCATCCTTGTTGCTAGGTGCTACCGTTCGTCTTTATAGCTTGGTAGTACTCCACTGTATGACTGTGCCACAATTTGCTTATCCATTCTGTTATTAATGGCCCTTTGTGTTCACCTTTTCACTTTGGGGCTGTTCAGAGTAAGGCTGCTGTGAATATGTTTATGCAAGTATTTTGTGTGTGTGTGGACATGTGTGTTCATCTCCTACCTGGGAGTGGAATAGCTGGGCCTTTGTGCAGCTGCAAACAATTCTCCAGTGTGGGTGGTACCATGTACCATCACTAACCTATGAGAGTTCCAGTTGCTCTGCATCCTCCCACACTTGGTTATACCAGGGTTCTAAACTCTAGCTATTCTACTGGATGTGGTTTTAACTTTAATTTTCCTGATGACTAATGAGGTTGAGCACCCCTTTCATATGCTTACTGGCCATTGGATATCCTCTTTTGTGACGTGAATGTTCAAATATTTTGCCCTTTTTTTTTTTTTGTGGTACGTGGGCCTCTCACTGTTGCGGCCTCTCCCGTTGCGGAGCACAGCCTCCGGACGTGCAGGCTCAGTGGCCGTGGCTCATGGGCCCAGCCGCTCCGCAGCATGTGGGATCATCTTCCCGGACCGGGGCACGAACCCGTGTCCCCTGCATCAGCAGGCGGACTCTCAACCACTGCGCCACCAGGGAAGCCCCTTTTGCCCATTTTTATCACTGGGTTGTTTATCTTTTTCTTGTTGGTTTGTAGGAATTCTTTTTATATTCTAGATATAGATATAAGTATTCCAAATATACTGTTCTTAGTCTGTGGATTGCTTTTTCACTCTCTTAATGGTCTTTTAATGAACAGAGGTTCTTAATGAATCTTAAAGTTCATTTTATCAGTGTTTTCTGTTATAGCTAGTGCTTTTTTTGTGTCCTGTTCAAGAAATCTTTCTCTATCCCAAGGTTATGAAGAATATTCCCCCATGTTTTCTTCTAGAAGCTTTATTGTTTTATCTTTCACTTGGGGTCTGTGATCCATTTCAAATTAATTTTTACATCTAGTGAAGGTAGAGATCAAAGATTAATATCCCCCCCCCCACTGGGAAACCCAGCTGGCCCATCACCATGTTGAAAAACCATCTTTTGCAGTAGTATCATTATTGTAAACCAGTTGACTATAAATATATGGCCTGTTTCTGGACTCTATTTCATTGTTCTGTTAGTCCTTGCTTACACTGATACCACGATCGATTACTACAGTCATATGGTAAGTATTGATATCTGGTAGTATAAAGTTCTTCAAGATTATCTTGGCTATTCTAGGTCCTTTGCATTTCCATATAACATTTAGAATCAGCTTGTTAGTTTACACACACACAGCTTCTTGGGAGTTTATTTGGGAGTGTCTTAAATCTATAGAACAATTTGGGGAAAATTGAAATCTCGGTAACACTGAGTCTTCCAAAACGTAAACATGCTCTTTGTCTTTATTTAGGTTGCCTTTTATTTTTTCTCAGCAATGTTTTGCATTTTCAGTGTATAAATCTTACATATCTTTCCATTAGATTTATTCCTAAATATTTTTTTTTTTTTTATAAATTTATTTATTTCTTTATTTTTGGCTGTGTTGGGTCTTCGTTGCTGTGAGCAGGCTTTCTCTAGTTGCGGCGAGCAGGGGCCACTCCTCGTCGCGGTGTGCGGGCTTCCCATTGCTGTGGCCTCTCTCCTTGCGAAGCACGGGCTCCAGGCGCGCAGGCCCCAGCAGTTGTGGCACATGGGCTCAGTAGTTGTGGCTTGCGGGCTCTAGAGCTCAGGCTCAGTAGCCGTGGTACACGGGCTTAGCTGCTCCGTGGCATGTGGGATCCTCCCGGGCCAGGGCTCGAACCCGTGTCCCCTGCATTGGCAGGCAGACTCTCAACCACTGTGCCACCAGGGAAGCCCTATTCCTAAATATTGATTTTTATGATGCTGTCATAATGGTGTTTATTTATTTCAGTTTCCAATTGTTTGTTGCTAGTATATAGAAATATAATTGAATTTTTATGTATTGACCTCGTACCCAGTAACCTTGATAAACTAGCTTATTGATTATAAGAGTAGCGTTTGTAGATTCTTTCACTTTCTGCATACACAGTCATGACAATCTTTATACCTTTTATTTCTTTTTCTTACTTTATTGGATTCACACTATTGTTTGGTCTTTATAAGTATATGTCACTTCCATTATATTTTTAAATGAGAACAAGTCTTTTTATGACATAGTGATAGAAGAGTGGTTTTTATTTTTGGCTTAATGACCTTGTTGGGTAAAATGGAAAGATGGCAACCATGTGCTGATCACCAAAATTAGATTTAAGGAGTTTTGTTGGTCTCTGAAATTTAGAGCATTTGAGAGCCCCTGAGTTGGTTAATCTTGGTTGTTTCTCCTTGGGCCCCAGTTTGGTAAAATAAGGCTGACGCATCAGGCTGTGGAACAGTCTGTGGTCCTTTAAGACCTTTGGTAAACAGCATTTGGCCTGACAGTGGGGCTTTCAGGGAGAGACACAGAACACTATGTGAATATGTTTTCCTGCCAGTTCACTGCCCAGGCTTCTCCCCACCCCAAAGGAACTGGATCTTGACAGGAGCAACAAAAAAATTAACAAACTTTAGAGTCTAAGATTTGCTGCCTGCCTCACTTAAGATATTTACCTAACCCGTCTAGATTGAGCAGAACAGTGGAAAGCACCAAAGGATGCCTTGAAAAATTGAACCAGAAATTCATGTATTTCAGTTAATTGAGTTGTATTTATTGCTCCCGCCATATATGAAACAAGGAGCCTCTGTGGCATTGTCTTTCAGAACATTTTCACTCCTGGAGAGCAGCAAGCGGAATAATTATAAAGCCTTATCGTTAGAAACACAAAAAGAGGCTCACTGTTTGGCCCTGACTTGCTAGATTGTTTCCTCTGTTTTCTCTCTGGCCTGTGACCTCAGAACTTCAGTCTGTGGGTGCACGTGCAACCTAGTGCCTAGAGCTGAAGGAAGCAGAGTTGGTGATGCCAGAATCCCAGGCTTGTTAGGATGGGAAGGAAGCTCAGCGACCAGGTAGTTCTGGTCCTACCCCTTCATTGTGCAGCTGAGCACGCTGGGTGGGGCCTGGGGCGGGAAGGGAGACAGATACCCAAGGCTGTGAACACCCTGATTTCTGTATCACGTGATCTCTCCACAGTTTCCAGCCAGAGACGACGCTCCTCCACGGCCCGGATACATTCCATGAAGATCGAGGCGCCCATCACCAAGGTGAAACAGTTTGTGGTCCGTCTCCATTGAACATGGGAGTCCCTTGTTCTCCTGGTTGATTGTTTTCAGCAAGAAGAACCACCAAGGGACCCACAACAATAACGATGCTCCTAGTTGTATGGAGCTGCCTCGTCTGAAGAGAGAGGATGCGGGACATGAGCACTTTAACCAGCCTTAAGTTAGCGTTGAGCCCTACTGCCAGCCTGACTCTCTGGATTGCTTTCCCATCGTCTTTAAGATTATGAAACTCAGGTCGTTTTCTTTCCATATTATAGGCAATCAATATCATCAGTGCTGCCCAGGAAAGCAGTCCCATGCCTGTGACAGAAGCCTTAGATCGTGTGCTGGAAATTCTAAGAACCACTGAATTATATTCACCACAATTCGATGCTAAGGACGATGATCCTCATGCCATCGACCTTGTTGGGGGCTTAATGTCTGTAAGTATAGTTGACCAGGCTGCTGGCTAGATCCTGCTGTTCTCATTTGTTTTCTCAGAGGTTATTTGTTTACGTGCTGGCCTACACAGCGCTCTTTGTGTGGGGCTCAGTCAAGGCCTAAACCCTCCATTGCTGCCCTCTGGCTGAGCCATCACCCACCTGCTGCCTGCCGCCCAGGGGGACCGCAGCTTGAAGCAGAGAAGGGAGGAGCACATTCTAGACAGCTAGCTAGTTTTAAGATTTTGAAGATGGGCAGAAAAGAAAAATTTATGAAATATTTCATACCATAGTACAAAACAGAATGACTGTCTATGTCTAAAGAGGCACCAGGGGGACTTCCCTGGTGGTCCAGTGGTTAGCACTCCGTGCTTCCGTTGCAGAGGGCATGGGTTCGATCCCTGGTCCAGGAACTAAGATTCCCACAAGCCGCACAGCGTGGCGCCACCCCCCAACCCCCGCCCCAAAAAAAAGAGGCACCAGTGAATGGGGCGTGGTTTCCCTCTAGAGCATCCTATACAGATTTGGTGACTTCATGGGAAGGAAGGCCTTGGAACCATTTCATTAGAAGGAGGCTTTATACCATGGGCTCTTGAGGGGTCTAGATGCCTCCTCCACCCCATCTAGTACAGAGGCCTTACAGGGGAAGAACAACTTGTGGAAAACAGATCATTCCATTGCCATCTGTCACCTTTTTTGTCTTGGTGACAAAATTCAGAAGTAAAAATTCATCCCCCCTCCTAATTCCTGCTTTCTAAAGTCACTTGATTTCATAAAAATAAGGTTTTAAGCAAAAATCAGTTGGGTAGAGGGTTCCCAGCGATGATGATGTCTAGTTGTGGTCTTGTCTGTTTGAGACAGAGGCTCCTCCAGCCTGTAGGTGAGGGGGTGGGGAGAAAGGATGAGGGGCAGGGTGCGATAGTGCCCGGGAGTGAGGGGTGAAGAGAGGCAGCATGGGGAGAAAGCACCGCAGGGCTGAGGAGAGGGGCCGCTCCGGGGCTTGGGGGTAGAGCAAGGGTGCTTAGAGAGCAGGGAAGAATCTAGTTTTCCTGAGGAAGGCTGGTGTCCACGAGCGTTGAGGAGGGTGGCAGGAAACGGGGGGGAAAGGGTTGAGGGCAGAGGGGCGTCATCCGGTCCCGAGTGCCAGCAGGACGCTGGGCTCTGGGGAGTCTCCCGAGCTCGCCGTCCTGGCGATGCCCCTACCCCCGAGTTGAGCAGGTCCGTGCAGCGTCAGGCTATGTGCTCCTGGGTGAGTGACTGAGCTCGGGGTTGGCCGCAGAGGTGAGCACAGGGAAGCCTCGGCACGCACTGATGGGGAGGGCTGCCCGCAGCGTCCTCCGGGGCCCGCTGTCCTGGGGTTTTCAGGGAGTACAGAATAACTGTGACTTCCCTTTCTCTTCTTTCCTTGATTTTTATCAGGACGTTTTTCGAAGACCATCCAGGAATGAGTATGTTCTTTCAACAAAAAGTAAGTTTCTCCTTTTTAGTTTTTTGGACCACTATTACTATTATAGCCATGCTTAAGTGATGAAAATAATTTTTTCAGGTAAAAGTTTTAAGATAATTTTTTTTTTATCAGTAAGAAGTTTTTTGGTGTATCATCAAAAATGAGAAACAAAGCAACCACCCCCTGAAGCAGAACTGTTCTCCCTAAGGAACAGTTAATGCTGTAAAGCCTCTTAATTTTGTTCTCCGAATCACATCACTTTGCAGACCTTCAGCAGGCTTCCAGCAGTGTGATCACCCCCACCTCCCTTCACGACATCCCATCACAGATAACTCAGGCCATGGAAAATGAGGAATCCTGGGACTTTGATATTTTTGAACTGGAGGCTGCCACTCATAAAAGGTGAGTCCACATGGAGCTCGGCAGACAGAGAGCTTGATTCCAAGGGCCGGTGTGGAGAAAGCCACCCAAGGAGTATGGTTTCTGCACAGAGCCAGTCCCTGGTCAGGGAGGAGGCTCAGGAAAGCACAGCAGGGCAGCAGGTGCCCTGAGTCACCAGGCCTAGGCCTCAACGAGGGGATCAGTGAGAAGCCAAGGGGAGTCTGCCTGGCGGTGACTTCCGCAGAGACAGCAAGCGTGAGATTGAGCAAGTGATTTAACCTCTCCAAATAGCAGAGGTTTCTTTTTCTGTAAAATAGGGTTATTAATTTCTCCTGTAGGTAGTGATATGTTGAGATAGCAGCAAAGAGCCCCACTCAGAGCCTAGAACTAAAAATTAGAAATACACAGACATACACGTTGTTAAGAGCTGTCCCCAGATCTTGGTTGCTGTGTTGGTGACAGGCATGGGGACACCCCAAACTCCAGCCATCCTGATCTGAACGTGGTCACCGAGAGTAGGGTGGGATTGGGATTTTACCTTCAGTTTTGTGCCTTGCTGGAGAAGAACGGTCAAGCAAAGGCGTGTGGTTGGCTTGGCACACAGGAAAGGGTGTCCCGGCCTGCTGCCAGCCAGCGTTAACCTTCAGGAGGGTGAGGTCCGGACCCTGGCAGACAGAAGGCCACTGCAGGAGAGGGGTGCTCTGCTGGCCGTGGGATAACTCATCGGGTCTCATCCCAGTCTGGGTGACGGTCCCCAAGCCAGCCCCTACCCTTGGCTCATATGCTCACAGTGAGTCGACCCTCTAAAACATTCTGTGTCCAGGTACCCCACACAGCCAAGGACTGTAGAAAAGAATATGCCCGTGGCAAACAGAGCTTTGGGTACCTGGTTTACATACTGGTACGTTGTATTCGTGTGAACCTGGGACAAGGCAGGTCTGTTCAAGTCCTGTGAGCCCGACCACCTCTGGATACTGCCTCAGCAGAGCCAAGCTTCTTGATCTTCCAAGCAAAGGCCAGGTGCTGGATGAAGGTGACTTCTCAAGGAAGGGCCTGATTTGCTGGCCAGTTCGTCAGCTTCTCTGGGGAAACCTCCTCATACTGTAACACCCACTTCCAGATTGTCGAGACCGTCACATGACATGTGACAGCCTCTGGCTCATAGGCTATCATCAGGAACTGTTGTTTTCTCCCACACAGGACATTTGGCCAATGACATAGGTCCAGCAGGTCCAAAGGAGAGGATAGGGTTTAAGCTGGAGCAGGTTTAGCCTGGCAGCATGTTGATTTGAAGACTCTACTAGTGTCAGTAGGAGTCTGCATCAGGAAGGGCAGGGTGAACAAACCTTGCCCCAGCCAGTGGGGCGCACCAGGTGAATGAATGCTCCCAGAATTGGAGCTGGGCTCCACCCAGAGGTTGGCATTGGCTACCAGGAGAGAGGGCAACAGAGCGCCACCCGCGTGCCACCCACGTGCCACCTGCACAGGCTCCACTCTGCTGCCCTGCGCACCCTCTGAAGCCTGGCTCGGGTTTGCTTGTTGGATCTGAGTAGATCCAACACTTTGCCTGTTTCTTTGCTTTGTTTTAACACTGTGGATGTTTTTCTCTGTAGGCCTTTGATTTATCTTGGTCTCAAAATATTTGCTCGCTTTGGAGTCTGTGAAGTCTTAAGATGCTCTGAGACAACGCTGAGATCCTGGCTGCAAATTATCGAAGCCAATTATCATGCTTCTAACCCCTACCACAATTCTACACATTCTGCCGACGTGCTTCACGCCACTGCCTATTTTCTCTGCAAGGAGAGGATAAAGGTGAGCTGGGTTTGTGCTCCACGCTTAACAGGCAGGAGCAGTGGGGAGGGCTGCTGTGCAGTGTCACTGCTCAGGAGGGCCCGGCACGGGTGCAGCCTGGCCCAGGAAAGGGGCGGCCACAGGAGAAGTCAGGCAGGAGGCCACGCTGTGGCTCTGGGGAGTTGATAATGAATTCATGACATGACTCCAGCCATTCCTGGAAGAATAAGGAGCAGGGTTTGTTCTCCGGGGAGGAGGCCAGCAGGAACAGGAGAAGGCTGTTTTTCTGAGGGGTCTTACTCTGACCCTGCAGGCAAGGTTGGATATGGCCCCTTTAGGGCCCCCCGCATCCCTCAGAGTCAGCGGTGTTTGAGACCAAGTTCATCATCTTTGCCCAGCACTGCTCCCACCCAGGGTCACCTGCCTGGCCCAGAGTCCCATCCATCATCCAAGCAGATACCCACGTCAGAAGCCTGGGGTCATCTTCAGTTCTCTCCTCTCCTCCAGCCCCCAGCACCTGGTAGGTCATCTGACCTTGCTGACTACAACCCCTAAGTGTTCTCAGAATCGTCTTCTCCTCGCAATGCCCCTGCCGCCGTCCCAGTCAGGGCCCCGTCATTTGTCGTCTAGATGGTGCCAAACAAGAACTCCTGGCTGCCCGGCCTCCTAGGGAACTCACTCTGACCATATGGGTCCCAGGAGCAGCCTCCCATCTCCCACAGGATTTAAGCTTCAAACCCCACAGGTGGTGTGCACCACTCGCAACACACAGGCCATGTTTGGGCTGTGCTGAGCCACTTTAGTTTCTAACGCTCCTGCCCTTGACATGCCGTTCCCTTTGCTGGTGCCGGCTTCCCTCACATCTCCCCCTGCCCTTCAGGAATCAACACCAGCCTTCATTCCTCTAGGAAGCCCTCCCTGGGGCACCCTCCTCCGTGTCCCCACACCCTCCTGGGTACCTCCTGATTGTACCGTCCACTTCATTTGGACGGCAGGCTCCTTTCGTAGCCCAGTGCCTGTCCTGCTCCATCTCGTCGGCGCAGGGGAGGAAGGGCGAGGCTCCTAGCATCAGGTGCAGTGGCCACTGGCACCTACTGGTGGCCGTTCACAACTGGCCCAGGATCTGCCTGGGGGCCATGTAGCAGCTTTAGCTCCAGCTTTGAGGCCATAGGGGGATGGGAGTAGGTCCCAGTAAGGAGGGCGTCACGGGAGAAAGGTTCCATTCAGGGAATGTTACTGCCCACTCCCAAACCAAGCTTCCTTAGAAAGCCTTTTCACGTTGTCAATTATTTCATTGGGGAAATTTTCGAAGCAGCAACTAGACCTTCACTGATTTGCCAAAGTATTTGTGTTATTTCCTTCAGCATCCATCATAAAATGGTACAGAGGGTCCAGGGAGCTCTAGTGTGTGGCCATTTCACTTTCAGAAGTATTGTATACTTGAGAGCAGTTGAATCAAACTGTTGGTTTTGTACCTAAGGAAACAGGGCCTCGTGAGGAATGAGACAGCGAGGCATCACTGCCTGATGTCCTGGCATCTGAGGAAGGCCACATGGTGGCCAGGACCAGCCCTGGCAGTCAGCAGAGTGAGGGCCAGTGCATCCCGGTCCCACTACCTCATCTGTACCTGCGACTAGTTAGTTGTAGGGAGGAGAGCAGCGTGCGGGGATGATTCCAGCACGTGGTCATGTTGAGTCACTCCCCACCCTGAAATCCTATCTTCTCAGAGCTGGGTCTCCCATTTGCGCTTTCTCTTTCCCTCTAGTTTGGTTTTTCGGGTTTTGTTGTTGTTGTTGTTGTTGTTTTAATAACAACAGACTGTAGGCATAATAAGAGTCCAGAGAGAGGGCTGTTTTTATAAAGCATGAAGACAAATGGCAGAGGAGAGATGTCTGTGTCAATATGGTTCAGCATATAAAGACAACCTAACTTTTGCTGTAATTTATTGATTTTGAACTCCTCTATAGATAACATACAAATATATATTCAGAAAGCTAACTTATTAATTTTTAATAGCATTGATATAATTCACATCATAAAATTCACCCATTTAAAGATAAAACTGTTGAATTTCAATTTAAATAAATTTTACAAGACTGATTTATTAGATATACACCTTGTTTTCAAGTGTTTGTAGAATATTTCCAAAAATGATCTTATACTAGGACACAATTACTGTCTTGATAAACTTCAAAATTTCATAGACTATATTTTCTAACCACAACAAAAACTAGAATTTAATAACTAAAAGTTAAATAAAAAATGTTAGTCACTACAAATGAGAAAATATTTCAAACAATTTAGGGATAAGCAAGGAAATAAAGCCAAAAATAACAGTTTAGAAAACAACAAAATGAGAAGCCTATGTATCAAAACCTGTAAAATGGGAAGAGCAAAGTGATAATCCAGAATGATTCTTTGAAACACCAAGAGAATTAAGTTCTAGCCAAACTAATCAGAAACACAGTAAACACAGAAATACACGCATTTGAAATGGAGATTAATAGAAGAAAGTACCATACACTTCTGTACTTAGAGTTTTAAATCAAATTAATGCTGGAAGTAGAAAACCAAGAGAGAGGTCAGTACCATGGGAGTTGTTTTTAAACTATCAACTAATTTCTTCAAAACCTGGCTCCTGACCCAGATGGACAGGTGAGTTCTTTAGCCCTCTAAGGAATTTTTCCATGTTACATAAACCGTTTCAAAGTCTTGAAAAAGATGGAAAACGTCCAGATCATTTTACAGAGTCACAAAACCCTGAAATCAACCTGACAAAGGTAGCAGCAGAAGGGGGGAGAAAACTATAGACCAATCCCCAGTTAATGTAAGAGATGCATAACTTAAAAAATTATTTCTCTCTTTTATTCAGTAATACTAGTTTATGTTGGTCTAAGTCAATATCTCAGACTAAAGGCCTTTTTTTGTGATGGGTCTAGAGACAGACTTTCTGAGGAGGTGACTCCTGTCTGTTGAGGACACCTGTGTCTTGGTAAGTCCTTAACTTGTGAGACTGAGAATCAGATAATGTTTCCTAATAAACATGCAAAGATGAAACTGTGTCTGAGTGGAGATGGGAAAACTGAGTTTGCTCAACATTATGCTTTTCTCAGAAATCCGAAATATCCTTACCTTAAAGTAATAGGGCAGAAAGAAAACTACTACCCAGAAGGCTACCTTGCTTTCAATGCCTTGCCCCAATTCTTAAATGATCTCTTGTTTTCAGCAAACTTTAGATCCACTTGATGAGGTCACTGCCCTCATTGCAGCCACTGTCCATGACCTGGACCACCCCGGGAGAACAAACTCCTTCCTGTGCAATGCTGGGAGTGAGCTGGCCATTCTGTATAACGACACTGCTGTGCTCGAGAGACACCACGCGGCCTTGGCCTTCCAGCTGACCACTGGTGATGATAAATGCAACATCTTTAAAAACATGGAGAGGTAAGAACAACGAGTTGGAAAGTATGTTTCCTCTCTCTTTTTTTTAAAAACAATTTTATTAAGATATAATTCACGTACTCTACAGTTCACCCGTTTAAAGTGTACAGTGGTTTTTCTTCTATTCAGAGTTGTGTGACCATCACTACAGTCGAAATTTAGAACATTTCCATCACCCCGCAAAAGAACCTCGAGCTCACTGGCAGTCTCTCCCCATTCCCCCCTCAACTCCCACAGCTCTAGGTCTACTTTCCCTCTCCATAGATTTGCCAGTTCTGCACATTTCACATAAATGGAAGCATCCCCAATATGTGTCTTTTGTGTCTGGCTTCTTTCACTTAGCACGATGTTTTCAAGGTTCAGTTCCTTTGTGTCTTGACATTCCAAGACGACAAAGTATAAGGCAGACACCTCGAGAGACCCAGAGAAGCTGTCACCTTACATCTCTGCCTGGAAGACTCCACTCTGCCCAGCATACGTCTCGTCGTTGTCTCTGTTCACACGTCACTTCTTTGCGGAAGCCTTCCCTGACCCCTCACATTAATTGTTCAGTCCCAGGTTCCTTCGTTTGCCTGATTCTGGTTTGACTGTTAAGTGCTGTAAGATCACAGTGTCATATGTCTTCTCTTCCTCACTGTGCCCTCAGTGTCTAGTATGGGGCCTGATAACTGTTAGGTGGAAGAAGTGATCTGTCAGGAACACTTACCAATTTGGATTTTCAAGGAAGGCTTTTAAACTTTTAAGGGATTTAAAAAATAACTCCCTTTTGCCATGTTTTAGAATTTCATACGTGGACTTAAAGTTGGTCTTATTCATAGTTGCCTGTATATATATCAGTTACCTCTGGAAAAAGTCACAAGACCCTGATAACTTTGGTTGTCTCCAGGGAAGAGAGCAGGGCAGCTGGGGCTGAATGGAGATGGCAGTTTATGTACCTTTTGAATTTTTAATTATATCATTTCCATCCTCAAAAAATAAAAACTTTAAAGTAATTAAATAAAAACAAGGGCTGGAGGAAGAGGTAATCAAGTATGCCCTGTGATTCTCTCAGCTTTCAGAAGGTCTGCCCTCTACGTTTCTGGGCACTAAAATTATTGGGTCTCAAGGTTCCTCTGTGTAGAGTACACTCTTCATAACCCAGACCTCCGTCTTCATTCAGAGAGCTGGCTTTGGTCACCCCTGCTGCATTCCATCTTTTTTTATCTTAAGAACTATGTGCTTTTTACTTCAGAACGACAACACCGTGAACATTGTGTCTATAGTCTTACCCATAAGCTTCTGATTTTAACTTCTGTTCAGGTTCCCCTTGCTAACAGCAATCTAGGCAGTAAAACCTTTAACTTCCACATTCTTTTAAAGTATGCCCTGCCACTGACTTCCAGTGCATTAGAATTTTAGCCACAGTGGACATGTGTCCTAGATAATAGCTTATTTTCAGGAACATCTGTCTGGTCTGGATCAGTAACCGGCAGCAGCCTCTCTCGTTTGTTGTCTGAAACAGGAATGACTACCGGATGCTGCGCCAGAGTATTATCGACATGGTCTTAGCCACAGAAATGACAAAGCACTTTGAGCACGTCAACAAATTTGTCAACAGCATCAACAAGCCCTTGGCAGCATTAGAGGAAGATGGGGTAAGCGAGCTGGTTGCAAAGGGAGCTTGTGTTTGGGGCCCTTTTCCTATGTGTTGTGGGGAAGCATGGGCCTAGGATATCATGAGTGTTATCATTACCCCCACTGGGCTCACTGAATTTAATTTCCATTGGTTAAAAAGTTAAAGTACAAAAACTTGGAAGGAAAAAAAAATAGGATATACAAAAATAGATATGAAAACTCTGAAGGGAGGGTCAGGTTTTAGATAAACTACCTTTAGCTGGGTGGGCCATTCCTGAGCCCTTTCTCAACAGTTGCCCCCTTCCCCTCTTCTTGCGCATTTTGGGGTCCGTTGGAGCCCATGAGGTCTCTCACCAGCCACGCCCTGCCGTGCATATTCTGTGGTAGCAGCAGCTGTCCTCTGTTGGTCTGTGTCAGAGGAGGGTGGGGTTGGGAAGGATTCTGTATTTGGACCACAAGGGTGACATTATCGTTGCTCCTCATTTTTGGATTTGAGGCATGGAGCCCAGAACAACTTCCTGGCAAGGAGAACATTAACCCTCTCCCCAGGCAGGAGACCACGGCTGAGGAAGCAGCCCAGTCTGAGTTCTCATCCTCGTTCTCCTTCACCACTTCCTCGTCTGTAGAATGGGTATAACAGGTCTCAAGGCATAGGACTGATGGGCATGGCACAAGGTAGGCACTGAATAGACGGTATCTGTTATACTAGATTCAAGGTGAGAGCAGCACCTAGAGAACATGCTCTTCTCATGAACCCTCTTCCTTTGAGGCCCACGTGCCTGCCCTACCACCCCATGTGCACTGAACATCTCGGCATCAGCTCACAGCCTTTTCCACATTCCTCCTCCCCAGCGCCTGTCACCACGCACAGGGATGACTTATCCTCAGGCTAGGATGACAGCTCCTTGAATTCTAACTCTACTTCTGCAACTCATGTGTTAGGCCATGGCTTTTGACTATCCCTGGCTTTCTAGCTTATTACCCTTCACCCTTGTTCCTGTTTCACCTGATTGGAAACCTGTTGAGAACTCTGCTCCCTCCACCCTTCCCTGTTCTCCAGTTTGTCAGTCTGCCTTTTACTTCACTCCCTTCCCAAGCACTTGCAGAGCAGAGGCACCCACACCAGCCTCTCACTGACTCATGCCCTGCCATCCTGGAGAGGGCTGGTTATTGCCTGGGCTACTGCTCCTGGCTGACCCCGTTCCCACAGAAAGAAACCACATACCTCGTAGACTTGGGTTTCCTCCATCTATTCTGGGAAGTTCCTAGACTTAGCTGAGTCTTCCATTCCACTTGCCAGTCAACGTTTCTCATCTCTTTTGTCGGTACTTGGAGTTACTTCTGAGAGACTGGAAATCAGCATCCAGTGGGTCAGAGCAGGGACAAAGTATCATGAAAGAAAATGGTTTCCAGCTGGCAGTACTGTAGTCACACACCTGAAGAGAGAGGGGTCAGCACAAACCTGGTTGGCAGTGGGAAACAAGGAGAACTATTGAGGACACTCGCAGTGTCCACTCTGGCGCTCTCCAGGAGACTAGGCAGCCTGGGCTCGGGATGCCTCCTACCCATCTTGATGGTAGATCTGTCCCCACTGAGACAGGATCATCAGGCCTTCTTAGACTACTGTGACTACGCACAGAAATCACATGACTGACTCCTCTGGAAAGTTGCCCGATGGGCACAGGATCAGAATGAGGAGATGCTTGCTCATGCCTCTTACCACGTTCTTTGCCCCAGGACTCCCTCTTCCAATCTGAATTTGCTTCAGGGGGCCAATAAGCAGAGAGTCCCTCACACCCTGGATTGAGATTCCATATCCAGAGGGGCTCCTTGTGAATCAGATAGCATGTGGTACTGTGAATAGACAGAATCCAGGACTAAAGGTAGAACTTAGGTTCTTATCCTGGCTCAGCTGGGTAGCTTTGGACAAGTTTCTTCACCTCTCAGGGTCCCAGGGTTCTCATCTGTAAAATGTAATAGTGTAAATAATACTGATTTTCATGCCTACCACAGGACCTTTTTGTGAGTGCAGACCAAAAGAGAATGACTAAGTCCTCTGTACACCATAAAATGTTAGGGCAGTGTTGAGGACGTATCACTATATCTGACACAGCCTTGGTACACACGGACAGCTAGTTCCCAAGATCATACCTCTCACAGAGCTAGGTGACTGGAGATTGGCATGTGAGAAGCAGAGCCCCTGGTGGACTATAAGATGCTTTGTTATGAGGGCAGAGAAATCTTTTATTTTTCAGTTCACTCTGTTTTTTAGTGAATATAGTAAAAGATAAAGCCAGTCTTTTGAGTGCTTACCAAGGGAGCATGATAGACATAATAGAACAGAAAGAAAAGATAACTGTGAGAGTGAGAGGAAGAGCCAAAAAGAAGAGGAAAGGCAGATACGCCAACCTCCAGCGCTACCCTCTACTTCTGGGTCCTGCTGGCATCTCACTAGGCCTTGGTTTTCCCGTTTGTAGAGTAAGGGGCCAAGCTCAATCCGCAGAGTATCCTCTGCACTGTTTGTGAGATCCTAACTTGTAGATCCTGGGCAGTGCCTTACTGTGGTTACAGTGGGACTGCAGGAGTAAACCGGCTTGGTACCTGGGGCCCCATTTTGATTGCTTTGAATTCCACTCATGTTTTAGGAAACTGATAAAAATCAAGAAGCCATAATCACTATGCTCAGAACTCCAGACAACCGCAGTTTGATCAAACGAATGCTGATTAAGTGTGCTGATGTGTCCAATCCCTGCCGACCCCTGGAACAGTGCATTGAGTGGGCCGCACGTATCTCAGAAGAATATTTTTCTCAGGTAAGATGCAGCTTCTTAATTCCTTAAGTAAAAGAGAGAGAAACACCATAAGGACCGTAAGAAGTAATGGACTTAAAACTAGGAAGTAGAGTTCTAAATGCAATTCTGTCCTTGAAGAACATTGCCTGTATTACAGGCTTACTGGTTATAATTCTATTAGTTTTCCCTTGTCTGAAAATGTATTTTATTTTGCCTTCATTCTTGCCAGATATTTTCACTGGATATTTGACATTTTCTCCTAATAGGACTTTAAAGATGTTAGTTACACTGTTGTCTGCCCTTCATAGTCTCTCTGGGTAGGAAAAATTTCTTGTGAGGCAGAAAAAAAATTAGAAAATATAGTGGCTAAAGTTTTTCCAAATTTAGTGAAAGATACATACATACAGATTTAAGAAACCCAACAACTCCTAACCCATGCCCAGGCACGTCACAGTCAAGCAGCTACAAGCCAAAGATACAGAAGAAATTTTGAAACCACCCAGAGAAAAATGATAGATTACTTATAAAGAGAACAGTGATTCTCATCTTTTATAAATTCATGTCAGAAACTATGCAGGCCAGAATACACTGTGGAACAACATCTTTAAAATGCTCTTAGGAGAAAACTGTCACCCTGGAATTCTGTATCCAATGAAAATATCCTTCAAGAATGAAGGCAAAAGAAACACATTGTGAGACAAGGAAAAGCTAACAGAATTCATCACCAGTAAACCTGCAATGTAAGAAATGCTAAAGGAAGTTCTTAAGGCTGAAAGGAAATGATACTAGATATAAACTTGGATCTTTAGGAAGGAATGAAAAGCACCAAAAATGGTAACTAGCAAAACCACAATGAAATATCACCTCATATCTCTCAGAATGGCTATTATCAAAAAGATAAGAAATAACAAGTGTTGTCAAGGATGTGGAGAAAAGAGAGCCCTTACGCATTGTTGGTGGGAATGTAAATTGGTGCAGCCAGTATAGAGGTTCCTCAAAAAATTAAAAATAGAACTACCCTATAATCCAGCGATTCTACTTCTGGGTATTTATCCAAAGAAAACAAAAACACGAACCCCAAAAGCTGTACACACCCCCATGTTCATTGCAGCATTATTTACAATAGCCAAGTTGGAAACAACCTAAACATCTACTGATGGGTCAAGTGGGTAAGAAGATGTGTGTGTGTGTGTGTGTGTGTGTGTGTGTATACACACACACACACACACACGCAGTATTTAGCCGTTAAAAGAGAATGAACTCTTGCCATTTTTGACAACATGGATGGACCTTAAGGGCTTTATGCTAAGCGAAAAAGACAGATACCATATGATCTTACTTATATGTGGAATCTTACAGAGAACAGATTGGTGGTTGCCAGATGAGTGAGTTGGGATGCAAAATTGGTGAAGGGAGTCAAAAGGGTACAAACTCCTAGTTATGAAGTAAATAAGTCATGGGGTTATAATGTACAACATGGCAACTGTAGTTAATACAGTACTGTATATTTGAAGGTTGCTAAAAGAGTAGATGTTAAAAGTTGTTATTACCAGAAGAAAATTCTGTAACTATATATGGTGTCAGATGTTAACTAGGTTTATTATGGTGATCATTTTGCAATATATGCAAATATTGGATCATTATGTTGTACACCTGAAACTAATATAGTGTTGTATGTCAATTATAACTAAATAAAAATAAAAAGACAAAACACTTTAAAAAATGGTAAACAGCTGGGTAACTATAATAAAGATTTTTTCCTCCTTTTAATTTCTCTAAATACATAGAGCTATTTTAAGCACAAATTATAACATTGCATTGTAGAGGATAAAATAATTTAAATCATACAGAATATGTTCTCCAGCCACAGTGGAATTAAATCAGAAATCAGTAACAGTAAGGTATCTAGGTAAACACCGACTATTCAGAAATTGACAACACATTCCTATATAATCCATAGGTCAGATAAAGGAAGTTAGAAAATATATAGAAGTAAATGTTAATAAAAGTATATTAAAGTTGTGGGATGCAACTAAAAGTGATTAGAAGGGACATTTATAATTAGAGAAAAAGCCCTAAAGTTAATGACTTAGATTTCTCTTTAAGAAACTAGAAAAAGAAGACAAAGTAAAGCCAAAGTAAGTAAGAAAGAAATAATAAATATAAGAGCAAAAAATGAGGAAATAGAAAACAGACAGTAGAAAAAATTACAGGAGACAAGATGGTGGAGTAGAAAGGACTTGAGTGCATCTTCTCTTACGAAAACACCAAAATCACAACTGACTGCTTAACAACCATCAACAAAAAAAGACTGGAACCTACCAAAAAAGATATTCAACATCCAAAGACAAAAAGCCACAACGAGATGGTAGGAGGGGCACTTTCACAATATAATCAAATCCCATACCCACCAGGTGGGCGACCCACAAACTGGAAAATATATATCATGGAGGCTCTCCAACAGGAGTGAGAGTTCTAAACCCCACGTCAGGCCTCCCCAGCCTGGGGGTCTGGCATCAGGAGGAGGAGCCCCCAGAACATTTGACTTTGAAGGCCAGTGGGGCTTGAGTGCAGGAGCTCCACAGGACTGGGGGAAACAGACTCCACTCTCGCAGGGCACACACAAGGTTTCACATCCACTGGAACCCAGGGCAAAGCAGTGACTCCATATGAGCTTGGGCCAGACCTACCTGTGGGTCTTGGAGGGTCTCCTGAGGAGATGGGGGTCATCTGTGGCCCACTGCCAGGGCAAGGACACTGGCGGCAGAGGCCCCTACGGGATATTCCTTGGTGTGAGCTCTCCTGGAGGTTGCCATTTTGGCACTGAGACCTGGCCCCACCCAACAGCCTGCAGGATCCAGTGCTGGGATGCCTTAGGCCAAACTACCAACAGGGTGGGAACACAGCCCCAGCCATCAACAGACAGGCTGCCTGAAGTTGTCCTGAGCTCACAGCCACCTCTAGACACACCCCTTGACATGGCCCTGCCCATCAGAGGGACAAGATCCAGCTCCACCCACAAATGGGCAGACACCAGTCCCTCCCATGAAGAAACCTGCACAAGCCCCTGGACCAACCTCACCCACCAGGGGGCACACACCAGAAGCAAGAAGAACTACAGTCCTGCAGCCCAAGGAATGGAGCCCACAAACACAGAAAGTTAGACAAAATGAGATGGCAGAGAAATATGTTCCAGACAACGGAACAAGATAAAACCCTGGAACAACAACTAAGTGAAGTGGAGATAGGTAGTCTGCCTGAAAAAGAATTCAGAATAACAATAGTAAAGATGATCCAAGATCATGGAAAAAGAATGGAGGCACAGACTGAGAAGATACAAGAAATGTTTAACAAAGAGCTAGAAGATTTAAAGAACAAACAGAGATGAACAATACAATAACTGAAATGAAAAATACAGTAGAAGGAATCAACAGCAGAATAAATGAAGTAGTAGAACAAATAAGGGAGCTGGAAAACAGGTTGGTGGAAATCACTGCTGCGGAACAGAAGAGAGAAGAAACAATGAAAAGAAATGAAGACAATCTCAGAGACCTCTGGGACAACATTAAATGCACCAAAATTCACATTATAGGGGTCCCAGAAGGAGAAGAGAGAGAGAAAGGGCCTGAGAAAATATCTGAAGAGATAATAACCGAAAACTTCCCTAACACAGGAAAGGAAACACTCAAGTCCAGGAAACGCAGAGAGTCCCATACAGGTTAAACCCAAGGAGGAACGCACTGAGACACATATTAATAAAACTGACAAAAATTAAAGACAGAGAAAAGCAACAAATAGCATACAAGGGAATCCCCAATTTTTCAGCAGAAATTCTGCAGGCCAGAAGAGAGGGGCAAGATATATTTAAAGTGATGAAAGGGAAAAACCTACAACCAAGAATACTCTACCCAGCAATGCTCTCATTCAGATTTGATGGAGAAATCAAAAGCTTTACAGACAAGCAAAAGCTGAGAGAATTCAGTACCACCAAACCAGCTTTACAACAAATGCTAAAGGAGATTTACAACTACAAACAATTACAAATGGGAGAGCTCACCAGTAAAGGCAAACATACAGTAAAGGTAGGGGATCATCCACACACAAATATGATATCAAAACCAGCAAAGAGGTTTTGAGGAGAGTACAAACACAGGATATTGGAAATCCATTTGAAACTAAGAGACCAGCAACTTAAAACAATCTTGTATATATATAGACGGCTATATCAAAACGTCATGGTACCCGCAAACCAAAAAACTACAATAGATAAACAAAAAAGAAAAAGCAATCCAAACACAATACTAAAGATGGCCATCAAATCACAAGAGAACAAAAGAGGTACGGAAGAAAAAAGACCTACGAAAACAAATCTAAAACGGTTAACATACATATCGATAATTACCTTAAATGTAAATGGATTAAATGCTCCAACCAAAAGACATAGACTGGCTGAATGGTTACAAAAACAAGACCCCCTATATATGCTGTCTACAAGAGACCCACTTCAGATCTAGGGACACATACAGACTGAAAGTGAGGAGATGGAAAAAGGTATTCTATGCAAATGGAAATCAAAAGAAAGCTGGAGTAGCAATACTCATATCAGACAAAATAGACTTTAAAGACTGTTATAAGAGACAAAGAAGGACACTACAAAATGATCAAGGGTTCAGTCCAAGAAAAAGATATAATACTTGTAAATATATACGCACCCAACATAGGAGCACTTCATGATATAAGGCAAATTGCTAACAGCCATAACAGGAGAAATCAGCAGTAACACAATAATAGTGAGGGACTTTAACACCCCACTTACATCACTGGACAGATTATCCAGACAGAAAATCAGTAAGGAAACACAGGCCTTAAATGACACATTAGAGCAGATGGACTTAATCGATATTTATAGAGCATTCCATCCAAAAGCAGCAGAATACCCATTCTTCTCAAGTGCACATGGAAATTCTCCAGGATAGATCACATGCTGGGCTATAGAGCAAGCCTCAGTAAATTTAAGAAAACTGAAATCATATCAAGCATCTTTTCCAACCACAAGGCTATAAGATTAGAAATCAACTATAAGAAATAGAAACTAAAAAACACAAACACGTGGAGGCCAAACAATATGTTAGTAAACAACCAGTGGATCACTGATGAGATCAAAGAGGAAATCAAAAAATACCTAGAGACAAATGAAAACGAAAGCATGACAATCCGGAACCTATGGGACATAGCTAAAGAAGTTCTAAGAGGGAATTTTATAGGTATACAATCTTACCTCAGGAAACAAGAAAAAAATCTCAAGTAAACAACCTAACCTTACACCTAAAGCAACTAGAGAAAGAAGAACAAAACAAAACCCAAAGTTAGTAGAGGGAAAGAAATCACAAAGATCAGAGCAGAAATAAATGAAATAGAAATGAAGAAAACAGAAAAAAATCAATGACACTAAAAGCTGGTTCTGTGAAAAGATAAACAAAATTGATAAACCTTTTTCTTGATAAAACTCATCAAGACAAAAAGGGAGAGGGCTCAAATTGATAAAATTAGAAATGAAAAAGAAGTTACAACTGACAACACAGAAATACAAAGGATCATAAGAGACTACTCCAGGCAATCATATGCCAATAAACTCGACAACCTAGAAGAAATGGACAAATTCTTAGAAAGGTACAACCTTCCCAGACTGAACCAGGAAGAAATAGAAAATATGAACAGACCAATCACAAGTAATGAAATTGAAACTGTGATTAAAAATCTTCCAACAAACAAAAGTCCAGGACCAGAGGGCTTCACAGGCAAATTCTATCAAACATTTACAGACGAGTTATTGGAAAAAGTACTTTGTATGATTTTGATCTTTTAAAATTCATTGACTTGTTTTGTGGCCTAACATACATATATTCTATCCTGGAGAATGTTCCATCTGCACTTGAGAAAAATATGTTCTGTTTTTGGGTGAATGTTCTCTATGTCTATTGGGTCCAGTTGGTTAACAGTGTTGTTCAAGTCCTTAGTTCCTTATTGATCTGGCTGTTCTATCCATTATTCAAAGTGTGTTATTGAAGTCTCCAACTATTATTGTAGAAGTGTCTGTTTCTCCCTTCAGTTGTCAGTGTTTTCTTCATATATTTTGGAACTCCAATTGTTTGGTCCATATGTGCTTATAATTGTTAAATCTTCTTGGTGAATTGACCCATTTATTAATAATGTCCTTTGTCTCTTAGAACCATTTTTGACTTAAAGTCTTTTTTGTCTGATATTACCAAAGCCACCTCAGCTTCCTTTTGGTTATCTGCATGGAATATCTTTTTCCATCCTTTCACTTTCAACCTATGTCCTGGTATCTAATGTAAGTGAGTTTTTGTAGACAAAATATAGTTGGATCATGTGTTTTTATCAATTCTGCCAGCTGTGCCTTTAGATTGGGGAGTTTAATCCATTTACATTTAAAATAATTACTGACAGAGAAGGACATACTTTTGCCACTTTGTCTTATGCATGTCTTAGAGCTTTTTTGTCCCTCATTTTTTCCATTACCGCCTTTGTGTTTGATTCTTTTTGTGGCACCATGTTTGATCCACTTCTCATTTCCTTTGCAGATATTCTATGGGTAACTTTTTTTCACTGTTACTGTAGAAATTACATTATAACATCCTGAAGTTCTAGCAGTTTATTTTAAGTTGATACCAGCCTATATTTCAGTTGTATACACAAACTCCTCTACAGCTCTGTTTCTCCACCCCACCTTCTTTTTTTTTTTTTTAATACATTTATTTTTTGGCTGCATTGGGTTTTCGTCGCTGGGCACAGGCTTTCTCTGGTTGCGGTGAGCGGGGGCTACTCTTCATTGCAATGCGTGGTCTTCTCATTGCGGTGGCTTCTTATTGCAGAGCATGGGCTCTAGGTGCGCGGGCTTCAGTAGTTGTGGCTCAAGGGCTCTAGAGTGCAGGCTCAGTAGTTGTGGCGCACAGGCTTAGTTGCTCCGCGGCATGTGGGATCTTCCCAGACCAGGGCTCGAACCCGTGCCCCCTGCATTGGCAGGTGGATTCTTGACTACTGTGGCACCAAGGAGGGCCCCACTTTGTTCTTGATGTCACAGTTTATATACTGTGTGCCTATTAACACAGATTTGTAATTTTTATGCACTTGTCTTTTAAATCCTGTAGAAAATAAAAAGTGGAATTTCAAGCCAAAATTGCAATAATACTCTTTTTCATATGTGCTTATGTATTTACCTTTACTGGAGATCTTTATATCTTTATGACTTTAAGTTGCCATCTAGCTTCCTTTCACTTCAACCTGAAAAGACTCCCTTTGATCATTTCTTGTAGGCTAGATCTAGTGGTAATAAATTTTCTCTGCTTTTGTTTATCTGGGAATGTCTTCATTTCTTCCTCATTTTTGAAGGACAGTTCTGCCAGATATAGAATTCTGGGTTGACAGTTTTTTTTCCTTTTAGCCCCTTATGTAATTATCCCAGTGCCTACTGGCCTCCAAGGTTTCTGCTGAGAAATCAGCTGATCGTCTTATTGAGACTGTCTTCTTGTGTGTATGTGATGAGTCACTTTCCTCTTGCTGCTTTTGAGATTCTCACTTTGTCTTGGCTTTTGACAGTTTGGTTATAATGTGTTTCAATATGGTTGTTTTGGGGTTTATCCTACTTGGAGTCGTTTACCTTCTTGGATTTGTAGATGTGTGTTTCTCTTCAAGTTACGGCAGTTACAGGCTATTTCTTCCTCTTTTTTTTGAATTTATTTTTTTTTATAAAGCAGGATCATTAGTTATCTATTTTGTACATATTGGTGTATATATTGTCAATACCCATCTCCCAGTTCATCCCACCAACACTATCCACGCCCCCGCTTTCCCCCCTTGGTGTCCATACGTTTGTTCTCTACATCTGTGTCTCTATTTCTGCCTTGCAAACTGGTTCATCTACCATTTTTCTAGATTCCACATATATGCGTTATTTTTCTCTTTCTGACTTACTTCACTCTGTATGACAGACTCTAGGTCCATCCACGTCTCTGCAAATGACCCAGTTTCGTTCCTTTTTATGGCTGAGTAATACTCCATTGTATACATGTACCACATCTTCTTTATTCATTCGTCTGTCAGTGGGCATTTAGGTTGCTTCCATGACCTGGCTATTGTAAATAGTGCTGCAGTGAACATTGGGTGCATTTGTCTTTTTGAATTATGGTTATCTCTGGGTATATGCCCAGTGGGCTATTATTTCTTTAAATAATCTCTGCTCCTTTTTTTTTTTTCCTCTCTTTTCTCTTTCCTACACTCTGATAATGCATGTATTTGTTTGAGGTTTCCTGTAAATTACTTAGGGTCTTGTCACTTTTATTTCTTTTTCTTTCTCCTTTTCAGACTTGATAATTTCAAATGTCCTATCTTCAAATTTTTATTGATTCTTTCTTCTACCTGCTCAGATCTGCTGTTGAACCCCTCTAGTGAATTTTTCAATTCACTTTTTGTGTTTTTCAGCTCCAGAATTGTTATTCGGCTCTTCTTTATAATTTCTATCTCTTTATTGATACTCTCATTTTGTTCATATATCATTTTCCTGATTTCCTTTAGCATTTAATCCATGTTTTCTTTTAGCACTAGTGCATATTTAAGATAGTTGTTTTGAAGTCTTTAATAAATCATTGCGGGTACCTCTTTAGGGATGGTTTCTGCCAATTTATTTTCTTCTTTTGAATGGGTTATGTTTTTCTGTTTCTTTGGGCTTGTGATTTCTTTTGTTGTTGAAAATTGGACGTTTGAAAAAACAGCCACCTCTCCCAGTCTTTGCATTTTGGCTCTGTGCCAGGAAAGTCTTTCGCTAATTATCTGGGCATGCTCTGAGTCTTGGGGTTAGCCCAGTGTGAAAGCTTATGGTCTCTTCAGGTCTTTTCTGAGCATGTCTTCCCCTCTATATACAGCTGCTTTTGAATATCTTAATTTCCCCAAGAGGCTTTTCCTTGGGGCCTTAAATGGTGCATTTGTTTGTCTCCACCTGTAATCTCTTACCCCAGGCATCTGTGTGTCTGTCATCTCCATGCAGCTTTCCCAGGCAGTAACCATTGCTTTTCCACCTGAGAGCTGGATTAGGTGAAATAGAGGCTAGTCCTTTAGACAAACTCCAGACAGGTTGTAATGTTGTAAATGAGGTCAGCTCTACACTCCTTCCAGTTCGATTTAAACAGTTGAGAGCTGGGCTGCTGTCTCATCCGGACCAAGACCGTGCTAGGGAGGAGTGGGGCAAGGGTGAGTAAAAATACCATGACATTTCCTACCATTTTGAATATGGCTTTTTCTTGATTGGAGATTCACTGTAGAATCTTTGACTGTCTCCCAGGCATGGAGATCTCATTGGTGGCCTAGAAGTGGGGCATGGGCACGGAGGACTTCATTGGCAAACAGTGGTCTTCAAAAGCGAATAGGGCCTGAGAAGCTCCATGTACCTGTCACATTGGGCCAAAGAGAAGAAATACAAGCATGAGCGTTTTCATTGCCCTTCAACAAGGCAGCTGCTTCCATGTGGAGGGGAGGGCAGGCCTAGAGTGCAGCACTGACAGAAAAGCCTCTGGAGCCATGAACTGCTGAGCTCAGTGAGCCTCTGCTATGGCTTTCCCAAGAGAGCTGGTTCATTATCCAGCACGACCAGGGGGGAGTGCCAGGAGAGCACCCACCCTGTGGTACTGCTCTCTGAGCCAGACAGGCCAGTGGGCTGTGAACCTGAGGCTATTCCTGCACCCTCCACCCCTTCCCATACACACCAGGGCAGAGACTCACGTAGAGCTAACCCTGCAATTTTCTGCGACAGCACTGGGGGACGGGGCTGCCAGCCTGTGGCCTAACAGCAGAGGCTTCACCAGCCAGCAGAGGCCAAGACTTGGCAGTATTCCCTACTTAGTCTCTTCCCAGAGCACCCTCACCCTACCTTCCACACCTCCTGGAGTGTGCTCCTGGCCGGACAACTGGTGTAGATAGTCTCTGCCCTGCCTCTCAGGGCTCCCTGGCCTGTACAATCCTAGTCAAGCGTGTGCGACTTGGCTCCCTGGCCTGGAGCGGCAGGGGCTCTTACTGCTGGCTTCTGCCCTGACCCACAGTCTAGCACCATCCACCTGAACACAGGGAGCACAGGCCTCTTTCTTAGCCCTGTCCCCGGCACCCTCAACACCCACCTAGCATAAGTACATCTCTGCAGCACAGTGCTAGGTACAGTCCCTCCTAGGAAAACCCCCAAAGGTTACCTGCTGCCCCCAAGTGGAGATTCCATGTTGAGAGCTGTAGTGAGTCATTGTCACTTCCAGGGAAAGTCACCTGCCGTTAGCTGTGGGGCCTAGTTCTTCCAGTCGCCCGGGCCTTGGATCCACCTTTGTGCAGGGCAAGGTGGCTTCTAACCAGTCCCTGCGGCCCTGCTGGTGATTGCCAGGCCTCGGCCAAGACAGCAGAACAGAAGTGAACGGAACAGGGGAGGCAGCTGCTGGCCAGTTGTCAAGATCAACAAGGGGGACTGGCCCAGTTTGCCCTGTGAGAACAGTTCCAGGGGTAAGAGTTGGATGGACAGGCTCCCAAGCCCCAAGAGTAGGTTTTCTTTTGGTCCCGCTGAACACCTGAATTCTTGTCCCAGTGCTGGCCGCTCAAGAAATGTCCTCCACTCTCCCACAGCCCCAGATGGCCCACAGAGTTCAGCCACCAGAGTCAGGCTTCTGGCAGATGGCCGAGCACACCACGTACCTCCTGTCCTCAGCCCTTGCTCTCACTGACTGGCCCTCCACAGCCCACGACTGGTCAACAATTTATCTCGTCCCAGGATCGCCACCCCTCTGTCATCTTCTCACTATGCCTGGCCCAACAGGGCAGCCTGCCCGGACCATCAGGAACAATGATCCAGGTGCCCCTGAGGACAGCTGTGCCTTCCAGAGCCAGAGGATGGCTCCAGCCCTTCTAGCCAGGCCCGCCCCGGCCTTACTTGTCCTACACTCAGTCCCCCTCATCCTGCGCCTCGTGTGACCGTCTGCTTAACTCTCAGCCCTGGTTGCCTGCTCCAGCAGGGACCTCTCGGTGATTCTAATCGCACCTCATTCCCACCTCGTTCCAGGAAGACCTCCTGCTTCATCATCCTCCTCCAGGCATCCCCTCATCCTTTTCTCCAGGACCCTTTGATGAAAGCAACCTTATGAATAAAAAGAACAAGAAACTCCTTTATATCTTTCAAGATATACTTGCCTTTCCCCCCAGGATCTTATATTTTCAGTTTTTTACAAATCTTTCTGGAATCCTGAAGATGTTCTGGAAGCGTCTATCAAAGTACATAAAAAACTCATCCCAGAGCTCTTTTTTACCTCAAGCGTGTTCATAACTTTTTCAAATAAAATAATTTGGCCCAAGATGAGAAGCAGCCACTTGTCCCTTCTCTGTGAAGGGGGCTGTTTCTCACTCACCATTGCCGCCCTGGATCAGGCCCTTGAAACGCCTGCTGGGTGGAAGGATGGCTGAGCTGACTAGTGTGCTCATGCACCGCAGGTACCATTTGCAGTCGTACCTCAGGAGCTTCAGCAAGAGGGTTCCAGGTGTTGAAAATGTGGGTTGGGTTGGGGTGTCCTTGGTGCCCCTGGCATAGAGCAGCCCCCATCGGGGATGACGTGGTATGTAGTGGCAGATCCGGGTTGTTGGCTGGTGCTGCGATCGGCTTCTCCCCACGAGCACTCTGGGCTGCCAGGAGAGGCTTTTGGCAGAGGGGTTGCTGCTGACGGGGAGTGGAGCCAGATACTGGAGCCTCGTAATTCTGGCATTTTCTGCTTTGCAGACTGATGAAGAGAAGCGACAGGACTTGCCTGTGGTGATGCCAGTTTTTGACAGAAATACCTGCAGCATCCCCAAATCCCAAATCTCTTTCATTGACTACTTCATCACAGACATGTTTGCTGCTTGGGACGGTAAGAACGCTTTGAGCATATTCCCCTCAGTAACGGGGAACTGCATATTAAGTAGTGCATAGTGTAGTTTTTGACTGTAGATATATGTTTGGGGGCTCAGACTTTGAAGAAGGGCTGAGGAGAAGCAGTGAGCTGACACCGAGGGCCGTGAGGGCGGGGTGCTCTCTGTACTCTTCCTCCTCAGCTGCCCCTGGCCCCAGGGGCTAGACGTTGTTGTGCCAGTTTCATAGATGAGAGGATTGAACTTGGGGCTGCACAGCCGGTGGTGGAGAGCCCAGGATTCAGAAACACTTACGTTGACTCCAAAGCCCACATCGTTCTGTGGGAGCCCTTTTGCCATCTGCTCCCCCAGCTTCTCCCGCCTCACGTGGTAGCCGACCCGAGAGCAGGCTGGTCTCTGACGGGTACACGTCCCTCTTCTTTAACCTCAGGTGCCTGCAGGAGCCTGTCACGTAAAGGACTCTCAGGGAAGGGGCCCCACTAATACTCCCTGTCCAGATCCATGGGCAGGAGACAAACCCCCATCTCAGGGTGCTGGGAGGTGGGGGAAGGACGACTCAGACGGTGGAAAGAGCTGCAGCTTTGGGGCCAGACTGCAGGCTCTGCAGCTCCTTGAGTCCAGATTCATGGCCTCTCCTGGCCCCATTTTCTTCGTATGTAAAATGACTTGCTCCCCACTCATGCCCTAGGGCATGTGCTGCAGGTGGAAGATGGTGGTATAAACTGGGGGGGGGGAGCAGGGAGAACTCCCAGGAGAGCCAGTCAGGGCCTAGGGCCTGGCTCCTGGCACCCTGGGCCCCAAAGGTGCTGATCAAATGGTGAGTATGCAGATGAGCTCCCCTTCTGCTTCACCTACCAGTTGTCAGCTCACCAGGTGGTTACAGAGGAGCTGCTGGCACTGAGCACAGGACTTGGCTTTAGTTCATTCCGGCCACTGGGTTTGCTGTGTCTGCTGAGCACTGTGCAGTTGTCTGCTCCTGTCTGCCCCTCTTCCGTAAAATGCTCTCTCCTTAGAAAGCCTCAAAGTCTAAATTTACTGAGGCTGTGAAAGGGTATCACAGTGCCATCTTTTTTCTCTAGCCTTTGTAGACCTGCCTGAGTTAATGCAGCATCTTGACAACAATTTTAAATACTGGAAGGGACTGGACGAAATGAAGCTGCGGAGCCTCCGCCCACCTCCTGAATAGTGGGCAGCACTGCCTGGGGCCCTGACGCTGTGTCCCTCCAGTCACTTGGGATTCCTGAGGGCAGTCAGATTTCCTTGGTCCTTTCGTCCCCGGTCTGCAGAGCCTGTAAGAGCACACAGGGACGTCGGCAACCTTCTGTAGCCACCATCTGATGCCATTGCCGTAAAGTGAGACTTAGTCCACGCAAGGTACCTGGGCCTGCTGTGGGGGGGGGCCTCAGAAAGTCACGTGAGAACCATGGTTTGCATTCACGTCCGTTAAAACATGAGCTTGGGACTGCCCCCGCGAGGGACGGTGATGGATTTCCTGCCAGTGACAGAGAGTGTCTTGTTGCAGTTTCTCTGTTATGTTCAGCACTTAAGAACAATCGGATGGCAATGGCAATCGGATTTTTTCACATCGTAGAAGGTGCAATGACTTCTCTTTTAAAATTGAACAGAAAATGCAAAGAAATTTTGAAGTTATTAATATCAATTATTAAAATGTTTTATTTATTTTATTAGAAGTTCAATATTTTCTATGAATTTAAAAATACTTCAAAGCCAACTTTTAAATGCCATAACCAAATTTACATGATTCATATTCATTAAATATGTATTACTTTGTGTACAGACTTATTTTCATAATGCAAATTTAAAATACAAAATGACACATTTTTACTGCACTATAGAAATATTTGTGTATGTTAAACTTTCCTGATTGATGCTAATTGGGAAAAGCTGTTTTGTGGGTGGGTCTGATTCTAGAAGCACTCAAGGAGAAGGGCTCCTGTACAGCAACCAGAGCTCAGAAACTGCTCTAGTTGTCTGACGGGCTCTGCAGGTGACTCCCCAAAGTGAAAGAAACTAGGACTTCACACTTTTTTCCTAAAATTTTATAATTGAATTTCCAAAAGTCTGCCTTATTTTATACAGTGTTTCTATGAAATATTCTCCATAAAAACAGAGAAAATGCAGTATTTAGTGAATTGACATTTTATAACCAATCTGTTTTCATCTGCATTTTGCTTCCTGAAATGTATAAAGGTTCTGTGTCTTCACATTTTGAACAAAAGTAGTACCATAAAAAATGACACGTGATGACATGTCAAAGCGCTTGCTCTTTCCTTTTAAACTTGTTTTGTTCCAGATAAAAGTGAAATTAAACTATTTGTTTTTAAGACAAAATGTGCCACCTTTTCTTTGAAGTTTTATACTACTTAAAATACTTTTTTTTTCTCCCTGTAAATAAAGAAGATACCTTTATTTTACAGAAAAAAGATGAATGGTTAAATGACCTTTTCAGGGTCACAAAGGGCCAGGTGAATATGTTGACAAATTCTCAGATACCTTAATTAATTCACCAGTTGGTACCCATTCAGAGAGATCATGCACCCTGGAGGGGCTCTCAGGGATGGGTCCTGGGTACCTGATGCCCATTCAGAGATGTCAGGGCACTCTGGAGGTCTGACAAGGCCAGCCCCTCAGGGGTTTCTTTGTCTAAAGAAACAAAGGCCCCTTTTTCCTGTGTGGAGACATGTGACCTAAGTTGATAACTGTGGACTGATGTGGGAAGAAAGCCCTCTCTGCTCCTCTAGGTGCCAGGAAAGAAAAGGAAATGATCCCACAAGGAACTCAACCATCATGAGGTAGAGACAGAAAAATCAGAAGGAGACTTTAAGTATCTTAACATGTTTGAAGAGGTACAAGAAGCAATAGAAACCGTAAGGTAAACCAAAGTAGTTTTGAAAAAAATAAGATTTGAAAAAGAACCAAAGAGACATTCTAGGTATGAAGGATACAGTCATCAAAACAAATGGAGGGACTTCCCTGGTGGTCCAGTGGCTAAGACTCCACTCTCCCAATGCAGGGGGCCCAGGTTCCATCCTTGATCAGGGAGCTAGATCCCCCATGCATATCGCAACTAAGAGCCACATGCCACAACTAAAGATCCCGCATGCCACAACTAAAAGACCCCTCATGCCGCACCTAAGACCAGCACAGCCAAATGAATAAATAAATAAATGTGTTTTTTTTTTTTTTTTTTTTTTTTTAAAAAGGAAAACTTCTGTACAGGTTTAACAGGAAACCAGACATAACTAAAGAGAGAATTAGTAAATTGGAAGACTTAAGGAAATGACTCAGCATGCAGCATAGAGATTAAAAATGGAAAATGTGAAAGCAAAGTTAAAATACGGAGGGTAGAATGAAATGCTTCAAAATGTGTCGAAACTAGGTGATCCAGAGGGGAGAAGAAATGGGGAGAAGCACTATCCAGAGAAAGCCTGCGAGTCCCTCAGGACTTGACAGATGCAAGTCCGCGTATTTACAGGGCACATCAAATCCCAAGTAGGAGGAATAAACAACACAGTAAAACTGCAGAGCATTGAGCTCCAAGAGTAAAAGCTGTGAGAGAAGACAGATGGCTCACAAAGGAACCAGTGTTAGACTGCCATCAGACTTCTTCTCACGTGCAACAACCACAAGACAAAGGCGTGATACACTGTGGAAAAAACTGCTGGAAGAGATACTTCGTTAACATGAGTTCAGAAAGAAGAAGTAGGGTATAGAAAGCAGTGGTAAACAGACACTGGTAAACATCCAGACAAAACTAAGCAGGTATATCTGAGTGGGGGAAAAAATAACAGCAAGAACTGGGTCACATCCTGAGGTTCCAGGGTATCTGAATTTTGGGGGACACTATCCAGCCCGTTACAGACGGTGATATCCATCTTGTGCACACACTCCTGTTCTTAGCTGCCTGCTCTGATGAAGCAAGCTGGCTGTGCTGCGCGCTGCCCCATGGGGAGGCCTAATACATGGCAAGGAAGCAAGGGCAGCCTCCAGCCTCCAGCCGCCATGGAACTGAGTCATATGCCAGCAACCACAGGAGTGTGTTAGAAGCAGATTCTGCCACAGCTCCAGCAGACACACTGACCACAACCTTATGAGAGACCCTGAGCCAGAGGACCCAACTCAGCCACACCTGGGTTCCTACCCACAGAAGCCGTGAGAGGGTAAACAGCTAATTTTATGCCAGTAAACTACGGTAATTTGTTACAGGGTAACAATTGATACACATACGATACACAGCAGTTAAAAGGAATGAAGCAGAGCTACAGATGTCAACTGGGAAAGGCTTAATAATAATATTGAATGAAAAGGCTAAGTTGCATTATGACAGCATTTGCGTCCATTTTTTGCATACCCAAAACAATACACTATAGTTCATGGAAAAATTAATAGTAGGAGCATTCAAATGTTCAGGGAGTTTACAAATACTGTGAACTGGCTTGTGCGACACTAAGCCCCTGGTGTACACACAAACTAGAAAACCACAAAATTTCCCTCCACGCTCCCTTGCACCAGGTTTCTGTATCTAATTTAGGTTCCCCTGTCAGATGCAAGGCCCTGATTTAGAAATGCGTCAACAACGGAGAGCACACGTAGAGGCATCGGGTTTTGAAATTTCTCTCCACCAGCAGCTCTGACTGCAGTAGAAGCAGTGAGCCTCTGGGGCTGCAGCAGCTGCCTGGGCGTCCCAGCCCTCAAGTGTGGTTTAGGGAGACTTTCCAGGAAACTCAGTCACGAGGCTGTTTCTTTAGCCCTTCCACTGATAAATCCCTTCCACTTCAACTAGCCAGAGGGGGTTCTCCGGTCTCAGAATAAAGGCTCTTGACCATGACCACTAGGACACACACTCCAACTTCAGGAAGGCAGTTACCTCGGGCAGGGGAGGCACTGGTACTGGGGAGACTTCAAAGGGAACTATCTGTACCTTTTGGTTTCAAAGGCAAAAAATCTAAAGCAGACACAGCAAAATATTAACAGTAATTCTGGTGATGGGTATATCAGTTTTTTAAAAATATATCACTATACTTTTCTAAATGTTGAAATATTTCATAGTCTTTTTTTTAATGTGGAGATCATGCCTGGTGATAAGATGGCTAGGAGAATATTTTATCTTTGATAAAGTCTAAGTAGTATACAAAACAGGGAAACCATATGAAAAAACAATAATGAACTCAATTATAAAATAAACATATTCTAGATACCAACCACAATAAAAGAAACAGAGATGTGACCAAAGACTGAGTTCTCCACTGGGTATAATAGTAACTTGATAGTGCTATGTTTTCTGGATGGAGATACAAGCCACTCATACCCATGATTAGTGATGTGGGAAAGTAAAAATAAATTTAAATATCTTCCAACTTCAAAAAAGAGAAAGAAAAAAGAAACAGGGAGGGGCTTCCCTGGTGGTGCAGTGGTTGAGAATCTGCCTGCTAATGCAGCGGACACTGGTTCGAGCCCTGATCGAGGAGTATCCCACATGCTGCAGAGCAGCTGGGCCCGTGAGCCACAATTACTGAGCCTGTGCGTCCGCAGCCTGTGCTCCTCAACGAAAGAGGCCGCGATAGTGAGTGGCCCCCACTTGCCACAACTAGAGAAAGCCATCGCACAGAAACGAAGACCCAACACAGCCCTAAATAAATAAATAAATAAATTTTAAAATAAATACTCCTGTTCTCTGTTTAAAAAAAAAAGGGAAATGTTTGTAATTCATTTTACAAAAAGCTTACTTCTAGAATACTGATTTTTTTTTTTTGTTTTGGTGGTACACGGGCCTCTCACTGTTGGGGCCTCTCCCATTGCGGAGCACAGGCTCCGGACGCGCAGGCCCAGCGGCCATGGCTCACGGGCCCAGCCACTCCGCAGCACGTGGGATCTTCCCGGACTGGGGCATGAACCCGCCTCCCCTGCATTGGCAGGCGGACTCTCAACCACTGCGCCACCAGGGCAGCCCTACAATACTGATTTTTGGAAACTTTTAACATAAACAGTAGGAAGAAATAGGATATGATATGAACAGAAATGACATGAACAGAAAGTTCATAGAAAAAAGTATAAAAGATTCTTAACGTTTATGCTAAATCTAATAGTAATTGAAATGCAAATTAGAACCAATTTGAGATATTTCTCTTTCAAGATTAGTAAGGAACAAAGAGCTTGATAACAGTGTGTTGAGAAAGGTGTGGACACAGGCACACTCATACATGGCAGGTGAGTGTAAATTAGTACAACCTCCATGGAGGGCAACGTTGCCAAATCCAGCCAAATCACAAATATATGTGTGTTGTGACCCAGCAACTCTACTTCCAGAAATCAATTTCCAGAAATATCTTCCAAAGATATACTCACACATGGGAAATGATACGTATACAGAATTATTTATGACAGCCATGCTTGTAATAGTAAAAGATTGGAAACAGATGTCTATCATTAAAGAAGAGTAATTACGTAAATAAATGATAGTATGTCCCTACAATAGAACCCTACGCTTTTTTAGGTATGAAAAAGAATGAGAAGGGGACTTCCCTGGTGGTCCGGAATCTGCCTTCCAATGCAAGGGAGGCGGGTTCGATCCCTGGTCAGGGAACTGAGATCCCATGTGCCGTGGGGTGACCAAGCTCGCACAACACAGCTACTGAGCTCACGCGCTTCAACTAGAGAGCCTGCATGCCACAAACTACAGAGCCCACATGCCCTGAAGCCTGTGTGCCACAATTAGAGAAAACCCACAAGCACAACTAGAGAGAAGCAGTTGTGCCACAACAAAAGATTCTGCAT